GACAGGATTAATTTATCAATACAGAAAAGTAATCTGCAGGCTGTTTCCATTCACTTCTGATTGATTTGAAATATATACCATTCCTCAACTTTGAGAAAATACTCGAGGTGGTATATATACCACGCCCACCAACAAAGGGTTAATGATCTAAATATACGTGTGTACTCTTCAAACATATTATACAACTCATGAACATTGCATAAGTAATATTACAAAACTTTGTGACATTGAATGCTTGGTTCTTAAAATCTATTAATCTCATCTGAAATCGCTAAAATTTAATTTGTTCTCAAACAGTGTAGAATCCTTTTGATTGATGACTGAAATAATGGCGTGGCCAGAACTTTGGCAGTGGGAAAGCATAGTTTCCCCTTCAGATTTTTTCCGATCATAGGAGTAGTAAAGATAACGTATATAAAACTCAATTTTGATAAAAAATTTTATTTTGCAACAGAAAAATACGTTTAATGAGAGAACTACGTTTAGAGAAAGTGGAAGTTACAAGAACTTTTTTGATGATGCTTGTTAGTTAAATTTTTTCTCACCCAATCTCGACTATAAAAAATTTTGTTTTCTATATTTTTCTGACATTCAGGCTTTGGTCTTTCCAAGAAGTGCATATAGACATGCAGAAATAATATTCGACATTTGTTTATTTACTTTTGCATCATAAATTAGTAAGAAAGGAAACGTAGCAACGATTCGATACATTATTATCAATACACTACGGTTTTGTTGAATTGAAATTGAAAACATCTATTGATAAAATATTGAAAAGTTTATAAAACAATGAATTAAATTTGGTGTATACCCATTTTGTCGACTCATTAATTTTTTTCGACAACATTTTGGGGTGGAGGAGATGAAAGATGTTTGTGAGCCGTCTACGCTATAAAATGTCGACGCAGATAGGAAAATCAATTAACGTATCGACAAATCAGGACCGAACTATTGAACAGATATCACTTAGAATTCAAACGATTCAAACGAACGTTCAGATTAGGTTAACAAGACACGTTGAGTTTTTTTTCCATGTCAAATGATCGAATTTATCAGAAAAATCACGTTTCTACTATTTTCTGTCATTCCCGAGCGAAACAAGTTAAAAAAAAATGAAAAAATGTTTTTTTCCCTCCTCATCATCATCTTGCTGCCTCATCCAACTAGTAATTTAATTATTTCTCTTGACCAAAACAGTAGATAAGATTCATTCGACCACTTTGTACTCAGATCGAAGAATCGTACTAAGGTCGTACGAGAAGTAAGAAATGATATGATTCGTACAGAAGGATCGCATGATTTCTTACTGTACAATTTTGGTACGAATCGGATTATTTGTCGGTCAGGTATTTCGTACAAAATCGTTTGGTAAAAATTGTATGTGATCGTGTCGTACGATTTCATATGATTTGAGTCGAAGTCGTACTCTTTAGATCAGTTTTTGCTTTTATTGCGATTTATATTTGAAATGTTAAGAAAAACTCAATTTAGAATTCAAATGACTTGTTTAGTGCTAGAAGTATATTGCTGCAGAAAATTCACTTTAATTTCATAGCACTTTCACGCTTCACTTTCGTAGCACTAAGCACACTAGCTGCTGACCAGCACCATCTACTATCCTTGCGATGTTGTGCGATGCTCAACTCATTTATTTGTTTTTGGTCTTTCTTTAAACTGAATTCTGATTATTTGATAACACAGTTTTAGTATGACACTCAGAATTCAAAAGAAAACAGCACGGATTCAGAAGATTATGGCCAGAAGGAAGCCTTTTCCTTTACTGTCAGTGTATTTTTAACTTTGAGCGCTCTGTTTATTGGAATTTAATTAGTTTGATGACAAGATTTGCGCTCGAAGTTTCGCGTAAGCGTTCTTTCGAAAGTTGGGTCAGAACTGCGCGGATCATAGCAGCATATAAATGAGAAAATCGTCTACTAGAGAAGTCTTTTCAAAAAATACGTCTTAAGGCACATTTTTTTCAGATCTTACTCTTGAAAAGATTGCTTCACTCTTTTTTCGGCTCTTCATAATTTTTGTTTACGAAATAAGCACATTTTTTTTATCTCAATTCACTTTTTTTGTAATGTTCTGTTTGTTGATTTTCCTTTTTCAGAAATTTATATTAGTTTTATTTTTTTTTAAATTCTTTTTTCCTGTTCTGATGTAATTTATCCAACGAACTGAAATATTTGCATATCACCGGAACAAAAAAAAAAATAAAATTATTTTCGAATTGCTGAAAGTGCTTTTTCTTATTCAGCACACTCGATAACCTAGAAGATTTTCTAGTTTTGGCGAAGGTACTGCCAAAAGTTTAAGAAAAATTTTGAAACAAAATGTCACAAAAAAATTCCCATCGGAAAATAATATTAGTTTCAAAATTTTTCGTAAACTTTTGGAAGCACCCCTTACCAAAAATAGAAAACCTTCTGGGTTATCGAGTGTGCTGGATACGAAAAAGTACTTTTCAGCAAATCAAAACCAACTTTATCTTTTTCCAGTGATATGCCATACAGTTTTTCCAACCCAGTGACACTTTTTCTAAATCTTTTATATCTCCCATACATGATTAAAAGGCATTTAATTGAGAAGATTCATATGCGGCAAAAACGCACGAGAAAAGCAGAATCAGACTAGCGAGAGAAAACAGCAAAAAATAGTCAGAATCATATATCACTCATACGTAAGATCGTACAATATCAGACACAATCTTATATAATCTTACTATTTTGTACGTAAGACCTCATAGGATCAGATCAGATCGTGCAATATTGTGTGTACGATTGTTGTACTAAACGTATAGTCTAAACCCTGTGAGCTTCCATCACGTACAATTAGTTTTAATGATGTGTGTACTAGTTTATCTTCTATTATAATCCACTCACCATCTAGATGGTAGTTTCATTTATTCTAGAATAACTGGATCCAATTTTTACTTAGTTCAAAATCAATTGTTATATAACTGCTCAAATTAACATATTTAATATGCATTATGTTGCCTAAACAACCACAATATGATCAGTACAGTTTTTTAGTTGGCAACCTTTCAAACTGAAATTTCTAATTTGTCAACGTGAATGACCTTCTTAACTGGTATATGTATGTGTAAACAGTGCATAGCATGTGCATCATTTCTCCTTAGAGCTTTAAGAGCGATTTATTGACACAGGTTGTATTTACTATTTTATTTTGATCCAATATTTGATTTTTTTTTTTTTAAAGAAAAGAAAACATAGTTATTTCATTTATTATGAAAAAGAAAACGGTTATATTGATAAGGCAAAAAAAAGCATTGCGTTTCAAATCTTATCAAACGAAAAAATGAATGATATTTTTGGTATGAATCGAATAACCTTTCTCCTATCGACCAGGTCATGCATTTTAAATAGTTAAATAACAGAAAAGTAAGGTGGGAATTTAGCCCAGCCGGAACTTTTTTTAATAGGAGTGTAACATTAAATTTATATAACCTGTGTTTTCTCGTTCAATATACGATTGATTTTAAATAACTTGACAAATTTTTCATATTTTTATTCTCAATATTTCATTGATTTATCAAAACTAAATTGTGTATTGAACGGCAAAACTCAGATAACAAATGTTACACTCATAATTTTCACAGAAAATAAAAAGATTTGTTATTTTGAATCACTCAGTCCTAAGCACATTTTTTAAGTTTCTTTCAAATGAATTTTATACACTTCCGCAAGAGATCTACCCACTAAATTGATTGGAGACTAATAGAGTGTTTTACTGTTCAGAACAATTTGTATTCATTCAAAACAGAATGATCCTGATTTTTTTTTCTATCGTTGTGACCGATTGTGATGAAATATATTTGGATAGTATTTATCAGCTATGATATATGTCTGTTTATTTTAAAGAAACAATAAAAATAAAAAAATTATACTAGATAATATTTTTGTTTACATTATATAAAAATTTTTTTTCTCATTGATATTTTGTACTCTGTTGTCCCATTATATAATAAAGTTATCCGATAAATTTTATAAGCAAAATAAAACATCGAAAAAATGGGCGTATCATATATGGTAACATATAATTTCTTAGACATCAACGCAACAACCATGTATATTTCTAATGTTGAATAACATTTCAATATTAAATAATAAAATATGATCCGTTTTTTACTTTCTCAAGCCAACGAGCTTTTGATGTTGTATAATGAATTAGTCGGTATATATCTGTAGATGCACAACTTTTGTCAACTGCATATGTCTTATCAAAGATAGCTGCTATCTTAAGTGATGTCTAAGAAAATTAAAAACTGAATTCCTTCAGTCTATTCCTAGGAGATAGTTGTAGAAAAATCGTTCTTCATGAATTGTTTTTTCCTTGCTTTTCTTTAAAGAATAAACAATATCAAAGATGGACACTAAGGATGAATTTACTGATACGAAGTTGGTTCCACCAACCCCCTCCACACCACCCTTTATTCTATCGACTCGTTTTTGTATGGCATTACTTGTATTCATGGCGTTTATTGTTCAATATTGTCAGCGAGTCAATTTTCCGATAGTCATTACTTGTATGATCAACAGCCCGCGTTCTACATTGCCAACAATAGACGAAACAACAACATTACCTACTGCATTTCTAGACCAGAATGCGATAGAAGATGAAACAACAAAGATGATGATACTCGAAGCAAATTCGGTACCACAAATTCAACGTTATAATTTATTTTTTAAAGAAAAAAGATTTTATTGGACTGAAGCTCAACAGCAGCTATTACTCGGAGCATATTGGTTCGGTTACATATTTACTCAAGTGCCAGGTATGTCATGAAACCCTATTCTTCTTCAGCACTATTTAGATACGATTCAAATTCTCAATGATTTAATTTTAAATTCGATTTAGGTGGGTGGATGGCAACAAATTTTGGAGCAAAACGTGTCTATGCCATATCATTATTTACATCCTCACTATCGACATTAGCTTTAAATATAATGTATTTTATGTCAGATACAGAATTTATTTTAATCTTAATCCTAAGAGTTTTAATTGGTTTATCACATGGTGTAAGTTTAATGTTAAATAATACTTTATGTTTTTTGAAAAAATGATGTATTCCTTATTTTAGGTTTTATTTCCGGCAACTGTTGCTCTTTGGAGTTTATGGGCTGTTCCAACTGAACGTGGTCGTTTGGTTTCTATAGGTTTTAGTGGAACTCATTTGGGCACATCTATTACAATGTTAATCGGCGGTTTACTCTGTCGTTATATAATTAGTGGTTGGATCTTTATATTTTTTATTTCTACTGTACTCGGTTTTGTTTGGTTTATACTTTGGATGTGGAAAGCGGCCGATTCACCTGATGTACATCCAACAATAAGTGATGAGGAACGAGAATATATTTGTAATATAACACTTGGTGGTACAAGTAAAATAAAAAAACCTACAATGTCATTATCATCAATTCCATGGGAAAAGATTGTCAAATCAAAACCTCTATTGGCTCTTTTTGTTACACATATATGTAATTTATTTGGACTATTTTTCTTCTTAACAAATATTGGAAAAATTATGGTTCAAGTACATAAAATACCAGTACAATATGCCGGTTTCATAGCGGCTGGTGGTTTCTTTTTGACATGGTTGAGCAGTTTACTATCGGGTATGTTTCATTTATAAAAATTAAATTAAAAGTTATATTTATTTGTTGTTATTGTTTATTAGGAGCGGCTGTTGATAAACTTGTTCAAACGAAAACAATGTCTTTAACTAGTGCTAGAAAATTATTTAATTCTATTACATCATTCGGTCCCGTATTATGTATGATATCACTTTGTTTTTGTGATGAAACAACAAAACCATTAGGAATTGTTACGATCGTTATCTTTCTCGCATTTTCAGGTAATCGAATGATCTCATAGTAAGAGTTCAGCTCGTAGAATAATTCAGTTTCAGTAATTAATTGAATCAAACTGATTTTATATTAAATCATTATTTCTCTACAACCTTGACAATAGGTTCTGCTTTTTTTTCTAGGATTGGGATGTAAGTGGTTTTATGTATTATTTTTAAACCAAAAAAATAGCTGATATATCGTTACCATCAGCGCTTTCTCTATCCAACATCTACGTAAGAGGACATTTCACTAGCATTTATAATATTTCGCGAATATTTTAGACGGAGCGGGCTATGTGGTTAATTTTAATGATATTGTTCCCGCCTATTCGGGTGTCATATTTGGTATAGCAAATACACTTGCTTCATTGGCTGGTGTTATTGGAAATTTAGTTGCGGGTATTGTGATTAAACAGCCTACATTGCATAATTGGCGTTATCTATTTATCTTATTCGGTATTGTGTATTTCGTTGGTGGAGTAGTTTATGTTTTGTTTGGAACGGCTGAGTCAAGAACATGGGCCACATTTAGTGCTGTTAATGAGAAACAAATTGCCAATGCCCATAATGCTGAAGAAAGTGTACCAATGAAACTTAGTGGGGGTAATGATGATGAACATCCCGATCCAAGAGTATAAACAGCAAATTTCATGAACCTCAAATGAAGAATACTAAAACTATGATATTTTTTTATCAACGGTGATGGATCGCATTTACCGTATGTATAAACAAATTTCACCCAGTTTTTTTATCAACAGATGCACGCTCAAATATACCATGTTTTCAAGTGCTATAATAGTACGCATACTTTCTTCCGTCCATTATATGAGAATGATTTTACTTTTCTCTTTCGGAAATGTAATTTAGTAATCTTTTATTAGAACAGTTATTAAATAATATCTTTGTATTATTGTCTGTGTCTTTTTTCCAATGTATTCATTTTTTGTTTTTTTTCTATTATTAGCGTTGTTTTGAGAATTGATCAATCAGATTTTCGTAGTTGTTGTACGTGAGTGTGTATATGTGTTTATTTTGAATGTTATATTGAATGATCGTTTAGCTTTTTTTATTTCTATTCAAACTTTTGATATATTGTCTTTCGAAACAATAGAAAATACACTTAGCACATACACCATGCACTCCAACAGATAAAATTATCAATGTTAGTTGTTGCTTCAGTGACGATCATATATAGTTTGATCAACTTTTTGCGCTCTAATAGTGAAATAACGTTACAATAATTGAAAATAATGCTTATTATCCACACTTGACATGCATTGTAACCATCAATAATAGCTCGAACGGCTAACTGTTGTGATATGCTCATTTTGCTGTTTTTGACTCGAAATGAGAGTAACGTCATTGATTTTCAAGTCAAACTGGAATTTATCAGCACATCAGAATGCGTGAGAGACAGGATCTTGTGGGTGAAAATGAAAAACTTCCTGTGTTTTGCCCATTCTTCAAGCAAAAGAATAAACTTTTTCTAAGCGATATTTTAGTCTCCTTCAGTGACGAGTCAGTAGTTAACACTTTGATCGATTATTTACGGTTAGGATTATCGATTGATAACCGTAACTGATACAATGTTAGTCCACAGAATACTTATCTTTTGATTCAGACATCAGACACCTGCTTATTAAATTCCTGCGTAAATATTTTGATCAAAGGAATATTTTAGAATCTATTATAGTCCTGATAGGTAAAATTTTTTATCAGTGTTAACAAAAAAAGGTTTATGGAAATGAAACCAAAAATTTCGATTACATTCATCATTTCATCGGCTTAATATCCAGTTTTATAATGAGAACCAATCGAACATAATTTTGTAACTGCATTTATGGAGCATGAATTTCTCTGTATTTTTGGTAGATGAACGTACTTTTTTATACGGTACTAAAGGTGCACCGAAATATATACTCAATCTTTATCGTTTATATAACAATACTTGAGCATACGAAAAAAATCTTAGATATTGTAACAGAACTTGTAAAATCGATGGGCGAATATGTGAGATAATCATCATCAGAAATGCATATTACTTTTTTATCCAATCAACTAAAGAATTAGAAGAACAGTTCAGTATCTAGAAAAATTGAAATAAATCATCAACATTCGAGCGTACCAAACAGACAACAAATGAATAAAAGTACAAAAAAAAAGATAAGATTTAAATTTAATTTATCTTGTTCTATATTCCTAAACAGGAAAAACTATGCAGCTAGTTCAAATCCGATAGGAGGCATGCAAAAATGAAAAATATCGTAGAATGAAATCCTTACGAGACTTTCTACAAGATCAACCAGCTTCGTATTTACACAAGAATTCCGAATTTATCAGCAATCTTCCACGACTTCCCTGAAACTGCGTAGGACACATTCACCTCTTTGTTTTACCAATACACATAGTATATTAGAACCACTGATTTGATGTCAATTTTCAAAGTTTTTCGTCACTTAAGTAATTCATTACGAAAAGGTCGACTTATAATAACCTAGATTGGGAACGCTGTTTTCGTTTTTTTGATGAAAATCAGTGGCATCTCAGTCGTTACCAGACTGAGCATGTACCAACTACGCTCAGAAAGGGTACCAATTTCCATATGCTCAAACAACATTGAATTACCGATCTAACTTACGAGGGAACAGTCCCAAGTTGAAAATCGTTTTTTCGATGAAATTATGTTGACTATATGTAATTGATGACGCTGATTCCAAATGTGCCATCCAGAAAACTGTCTATGTTGCATACGTTTTAGTTTTAAAATATCACCAAACGGTGCTATAATTTTTGTAAAGTATCCTACTAAAGCATTTTTCCATCAAAACTACTGTAGCCACACACACTCTTTTGGGAAATTTTCCTATGTCGTTGATTTTTCTTCTGAAAAACTGGAACTTATGGAACATAGACAGTTTTGTGTCCTCTACAAAATGATCGATTCAGAAAAGTTTTCTGGATTCCTCGTTTTCTGAAGATCCAGTTTTCAGAAAAACAGTCAACGAAAGCCTAGGGATAACGCCTATGTTCATATTTGAAATCAGCATCATCAATTACATATACCCTACCTAGTTTCATCAAAAAAAACGATTTGCAACTGGAGTCCTTCCCTCGTTAATCTGTCTCCTTGTTTCGTTTTCTGTACTGTTCGTTTACTTGTAAATAAATACGCGTATATTCCGAATTTAATTCGTTTTACACCCGATAGTTTGCTGCATCAATCTGAAGTAGGGAAGTGAAGTGTTGGAAGAAGGGATTTCAAAGTATAATGCATTAAACGAAAGCAACGCTTACAAGTCTAAAAAAACTTTAAAAAATCTAAAAGTTTCGTCAAGTTTATATATCAGTGTTTCATATAAACTGTCAGAAGCAACTATGGACTACCAGCAGCTCCTCTCGTCAACTATAGCCTACACAACTGTTACGGAGAACAAATCATTATTTAACTTTTGTTTTTGATCATTTTCTCGAATTTCTAAAATATCTGCACTAAATGATTTTGCTCGTTTGGTTCTTGTCATTGTTGTTATTCTATTAATCTGGAATTGTTTTGTTGTTGTTGTTGTCGTTGTTGTTGTTGCTGAAGCTGCAGCAGCTGTTACAGATTTCATTAATCGAACACGCTCATTTAATTTTAATTCAACTGACTTTGGACGTCTCGATTGATTAAATGACATTAGACTACGTCTTGTCGAATGCAAACGTTTCGAAATTTTTTCGTATTCATCTGTTTCGACATCTTCTAAATGATCTAGCAAACGACCATCTGCAGTTACGAGATAATCTGTATGTGATAAATGTAAACGTCTTAGTTTTTGACGATATTTCATTGCACACGAATGTGCGCGTTCATTGACAAGTGCTTGTACATCATCTACTGACATATTTACACATGTTTCATGATCACAAAAATAAGCACGAAATATACGTTTTAAACGGTTAACATTAGCCAATTCTTCTAAAAGGAAAGCATTCGTTCTGAGATATGAAACTATATCACTATCACCATTTTAATCCAGTTCTCTTATGGGAAAGTATGAGAAATGTGCTCTACGAAACGACACGTTTGTAGATCTCTAGGTGGAAAAACAATAGTTCGTTAAACAAATACTGACCGTAAAGTTTGTTTTTTATGGGCACATCCCATAGTGTTTTCAAAAACGATGCTGGTAGCTCTTTTTTTTGTCGTTGCGTTTCTTTAAGTTGATGAGCGAATAATCCTACGATGCCTAAAATGTGAAGAATCTCGTCAGCGTTCTTAACTTTTATCTGGCACGAAATATTGTGCCAAATTGTGGTGATGTCAAAATCATAGAGCTGTAACATGAAAATGATGATATTGTCTGTTTAGAAAGTAAAGACATGTAATGAATCTCTTGTTAATGAGAGAGATCGAAGAAATGAATTAAATGATATGATTCGATATATGCATATTTTGATTGTAGAACATTATACATAGTTCGAGACTGTACCACTAAGAATTTGACGATTCTTATTTGATTTGTACAATGGGAACTAACCTAATCCATAGAATCCAATATATGCAATCATAAATAAAGCTGCTCCGAGATTTCCAGTTTTCAAATCTAACATAAACGCTGAATAATCATCTCGTGTAAAGTTTGATTCGTTTGAAAAACACAATGAAATACAACTTAAAGTTTGAACGGCTTCGTTCGACATATGTGCTGAAGAATGATTGAAACTGATTTTCAATGTTACATCGTGTATTTCTGTTGTACGTTTTGGCATCAGCTTGTGAATTATGACACAATATAATTATTTTGTCTCTTTATTTCTACATTTTCTAAACATTACATCAAATAATAAATTAATTCTAAGTACATTTACTACGGTAGATCCCTGGTAAAATTTTGTTGCAGACTCGTTATGAAATCTGTTAATTTTTAGGATGTTCAGTGAATTTTTCGTTTAAAAAATATTCTTCTTCTTTTTTCATAGAATCTGTGATATTCGATAACTGTTTATCAAACATATCTTTCAAAATATGACAACATTTCACAAACGAATCCTAATATGAAAAGATATAGAGTAAATCAATCCAGTTTCTCCAGGTACTTCAGTATTTTTCTTATCGAATAAGAAAAGGAACAGTCTCAAATCGTGTTCAGTTTAGACATGAATGAAAATTGCACTAATGACCAAAACTAACTGGAAAAATTAGCAGAAACTAATAACAGCGCATATAAAACTTGTAATTTCAGGACTTCTAGTATCAATGATACAGGTGTGCTACATATCTAATGTTTCTTTTTATCACTTAGCTGAATAGATTTAGCATAATGTGTTTGTAAAATACTTCTCTTTCATGATAACAAGGTCTCTTTTATGTGTAACACATGCTTTCCTTGACTAAATAAATCGATTGATTGATTGATTGATTGATTGATTGATGTTGTTTATTGAATATTTTTTTCCTCAACAAAACCCATAATGTCAAATATTTTTAACATTACTTATAAACAGAAAAAAAAGACAAAAAAAGAATTTAAATATTCATAAGTGATCATCATATTTCTCGATCAACAATAGAGAATCCACTAAATATACTTAGAATATATGCTTATTTTAATAATATTCGGGCAATTATTTATAAAAAGATACTTCCTACTTGCTTATAGACGACAAACAGACATTTTTTCCATCCTTTGCAGAACTCTTGGTACCTCTTCGAGCATCTAACTAATTACTCAGACATGTGAGTACAAAGATTCATTCAGAATCTCAGCGTTTTCAATTAGGGTGGGGCAGAAGAATTCTTAACCTTAAATTCTGATAATGTCCGCTAGATTTTTGGAATTTTTATCCTGCCAAAAATTTCTCGAATCTTTTTATGAGTACCGTAAGTGGCACAATTACCTTGCAAGTATTTGGCTTGACAGATTGTAAGAGACTGAGAGGTATTATTAGAAGCTAGTTTAAGATACTCAATAACCAGTATGCTACATGTCAAAATAACTAGTCGATAGTCGTGTGACCGTGATTATTTGTCAAATATTAGCGTACACACATAAATATTTCATTTGCTGAAAAAAATTGTCCATCAACTTTTTAAAAATGATCATCTGCGAGAAAAATCTTTCTACACTAGCTAAAACCAATCAGAAACCCTACTTTCGACTTAGATCATTTTTGGTTTTGATCCAATGCTAGTTCGAATTATTTTTAAGTTAAGTCATACCATATTTTTAAAATTTATTTTAAGTAATCAGATTAGCAGTAGCAAAATACGAAGAAGTGTATTCAGAACAGTATCTTCATACATACTCTCTTTTATTTTTTTGTCATTATCTTTATGAATTGACTTTCTTCCACAAAACAAACTAACAGATGTCATTAACAACAGATAAAGTATTTTCTGAGTAATAACAAGAAGAAACAATAATTAACAACATTTTTTGTTGAGAAAAGTAATACACAAAACACATAGAAAAAGGAAAACGCAAAGAAGTGTATAAAAATACACAAATAATTTGTTTCATTTTATTTGCTCTTTTATCTCTAGAGTACAAAAAACACACACATTCTTTCTTATATTTTATTATTCCAATTGATAAAGTTTTAATGATCGATCAAGACTAGAACTAGCTAGATAATTTGCATTTGAACCAAAACGAATGCCAGTAGCTAATGCTGTATGATCAGTAAATACTTTAAGTAAATCCCATTGTTTTACTTGATAGACACTAGAAAACAATGAAAAATATTTTAAAAGTTTGACAGAAAAATCAAAGATTAGTACTAACCGAACATCCGTGCCAGCTACTCCAAGATAAACACCACTTTGATCGAATACAAGATCTTTAACCTAATAGATAATAAAACTAATGATTATACACGAAATAAAGTACAGTTTTATCAATAAAAGGAATATTTTAGGGGAAATTATTTTTTTGATAAGCATCTCAGGTAGTTGCTCAGCGAGAGTCACTTGTTAAAGCTACATAAATTTGATTCCGTATTTTAGATATACTAAAACTTAGCATAAATACATACTTCATAACGATCTTCTAACGTGATTGTTTTAAAATTTTTCAATTTTCTCAAATCCCATAATTTAATAACAGAATCATCCGCTGCTGTTGCCAAATAATAACCTAAACAAACAAACAAAAATTAGAGTAACTGTACGAAGTGGAAAAAACATTACAAACCATTTTCTGAAAATGCAATTGCACTAATAGCTCCGCTATGACCCGGAAAATCTGCTACATTATTGCATTCTTTTAAATCCCATATTTTAATTACACTATCTTGTGTACCAATACCAAATATAATACCATCAGGATGAAACTGCGCACACGTTAAAGCTAAAAATAGATTCACACTAATCTTCTTCTTCTTTGATTATAAGTACAAGATAGGAAATTGCATTTCACATGTAACATGCAGTTATAGAATCAGTTCCATTCTAAACAGCACTAAACTTAATTATAAATTTACTTTTAGTTATCAATGTTTTGTACACTTCATCAAGGGCATAATAGAAATGGGATTTTACATACCTCTTTGTGATGTGCTATCTTGTATTTTAACAAGAAGTTTTCCTGTTCGAATATCAGACAATGCCCAATATGTATCATTTGAACTTGACAAAACATAATCACCCGTTGGATGTAACGATAAACCGGTTATTGGATTATCGTGTACTCTTAATAACTTAGTGCATTGAGCACTAGGTATATGCCATACACGAATTGTCGAATCAGGACTAGCAGTAATGGCATATTCCTAGATGAAAAAAATAAAATAATCGGCTAGAAAAAGTAAGAAAGAAAAATATTTGTATTTACCTCATCTGAGTGATGAATAACATGTGTGACTTTTTTCGTGTGACCTTTGAGCGTAGCAACAACTTGTGCACTTTCCTTATTAAATACAACAGCTTGACGATCATTACCACCTAAAAGAGGTTATAACACAAACATTTCTTGAAATCTAACAAAATAAATTAAACTATATCTCAAGATAAAGAGTTAGTGATTAAATTATGTTTAATTCAAATACTGTCTACTAGTCGAATTATCTGTTCAAAACTGTCAATTACCTGTAACAATAATATTGGAATCTTTCTGATAAACATCAAGTGCCAATATACCAGGATTACTTGCACTATGCAAACCCTTAACAAAAGAAAATTCAAATTATTTTTTGGTTTAAGCTTTAAACTTAAACCAGAATGAAATCAAGAATATAAATTTCCATTATATTATTCTGAAGCTTAAAACTATCAAAACACAAACTCAATCCTTGCACAAAGCTAGAATCGAACATACGAACTTAATCATTGCAGATAAACTGCAAAAATCAACTTCGCTACCCTTTCCTATATTTTGCACAATGATTAAAGTTGTACAATGACTCGATGTTATCCTTCAATATCTATTTTTTATTTTTGTTATGATTTTGTATTTGGTTTTTGGTTTAAGCTCTAATCCTGGAACTAGAAATTATTTGTTTTTAGCAGAAACTAAAAATTAACAACGTACGGTGTGTGTAGCTACACAACGGAAGTTTTTCATATCATCCACACTTGTTAAACTATCCGGAACTTTTTTACCACGTTGTTTACGAAGTTGAGTAAGGACAGTGGCTTTTGTTTGTAGCTAAACACAAACATGCGAGAAAAATCATGTATAAAGCAAGAAACTTTAATAGTAGGATCATACTTTTTCGATAATTTCATCTGACATTCCTTCTGCAACAGTTTGTGAAGCAGTTTCTCCTCCTGCTGCATGTGCTACTGAAAGCGCATTAGAAGGTGGAACGACGGTATCATTTGCATGTTGCTAAACAAAATAACAAATGATGTTAATGGAAATAACTAAACTACAATTTTAACCTCAAGTAGTTAAGACAATACACCCTAGTTTACTACGTACCGGTTGTATCACATTTTGACCAGTAATACCCGCTTGTGGTTTCAATGTGGCAAGTGCTTCTCGTGCTGCTGTTACTTCTTTGTTTAGTCTTGCTATCACTCGACAAGCAGCGTCATGTTGATACATCACATGAGAAAGTTCTAAAATTATTTATATCGAGTAATTTGACTATTTGTTTACAGAAAGATAAAAGAAAATAAACCTTGTCTTGCTGTCTGAAGTTGCTGACGTAATGTAAAACTATGTAACATAACAGCATCCTATAAAACAGTAAAAAGATAGATAAATTTCTTTTATTATTAATATTCACAAACCCATTCATCTTGTAACATTTTTAATATAGCTGGAATAGACGTAGCCGATGGGGGTCTTGGTTTTCCAATTGGTGTAACTGGAAAAAAATGAATATAAACATATGGTAACAACATTACTCTTTTATCAAACCTTTAACATCGATCAATTGATTTTCGGTCAGTTGTTGTCCATTCATTGGATCGGTACCCAGTTCATGAATATATTTTATAATTAGACGTTTTTCATACACACAACCCGATACAGGTGATATAACAGGCTGTTCAGGCACTTCGTTTGACACTAAAAACAATAACAAACATATTACTTATTAAAAATCATACACATCGATTAGATGCAGCTATTCAACAGCTCATATAATAAAACGATCATACATGACAAATACTTTTTAAAAAAATGAATACTTACGAGAACAAATTAACGACATTCTGATGGAGATCCAAGTAATAATAGATTAAAAAAATAAACAAAACGACAAATTATCTAAAACAAAATACGAAATGAAATCGTTTCAATGTTCTAATATGCATAATGCAGTTCACAAAGAAAGTCTGTCAACTTCTGAAGCTCATTTGAACAGAAATATGTTCTTAATACTGTTTTCAGTTACGTATCTCTATTGAATTCATGTTTGATCTACGCATGTGATATCGACAAAACTCAGCACTTTTATAGAAACTGACGTTTATATTATAATTGATGTAAAGAGTCGGCACGATTTGCTTTCTTCATAGCCAGCGATATTAAATGAAAATCGTATCATTTGTAGGTGTCCACTATTGCGAACAAAAAATAAATAAATATTTTCCCTATTTCTATTAGAAATAGAACTGCACAGCCGAATCGCGTAACTCTTCTACCGGAGTGTGGATGCTCTCCGTTTTATATTGTTTTTAATGTTACAATATTTGAAAGGAACATTATAGAAATTTGAGAGATGTCTTGTTCTGTAGCTAAAAGTGTGCTTTTCAAAATCCAGTGTGAGATCAACTCGATTTGCTCAATCGTCTTGGCACTACAACTAAAATGCAGTAAGCTGAAATTTGAAATCCATTTTTTTCGGAGATACTGGTATTTCGATTATGGCACAAACACGATTGACCGAACCGAGTTGATCCCATAGTGGATATTGAAAAGCACACTTTTAGCTACAGAACAAGACGTCTCTCGAATATCTATAATGTTTCCTTCAAATATTGTAACATAAACAAAAGGAATAAAAACGGTAAAGCACTCACACTCTGGTAGGAGTGTGGAGTTACGCGATTCAGCCGTGCATACGATCGTAGTATCAAGTGAAACTATCAGTAGTTAACTAACTACATTCAAATGCATTAAAAAAAGGTCTGTTGCAGGAATAAAACAGATTTTATTGCAAAATAACCCCCGACTGTCGTTAAATTTTGGTCATTAACCATTTTTGAGCAAATACATAAAATAAACTAAAAAATAATAAACCATCAACAAGAGATCATCACAGAAAAATAAAATACTGTTTTAATACGAGCAAATTATGGCTACAAAGAAGCACCAGAGAATAATAATGAGTAGATAATTATAGTTATCAATAAAAGTAAATATAATATAAATAGCAAAAAGAAAAAGTGATGTCAAAACAGTGATCAGTCAAAAAAAATAATAAAAGAATCCGAAAATAGAAAATACCATTTTAATCTGTCGGTTTATTACACGTATTCAGAACAAGTATCACAGGAAGACTTAAACCAAATATATTGTCACAAAAGTTTTGACATCTTTTTTCTGCAAATGGAGAAAAAAAACTTTTGATTATAAAAAAAAAAAGTTGAGATTCATTGCAGTGCGAGACAGACGCATATCTATGCAACACTGTTATCAGTTGCTGGACTACTCTGTGTTTGATCTTGTTTAATTCCCCCACCTGTACCGACAACCAATGGACTTCCATTATTATCTTGAACGGGAAATGAAAGTGGAGATTTTGATGAAACTTTTTTTGATAAAAATCCTTTTGAACTAACTGCAGTATTCGAACTAGAAGTCAGTAATGGTTTATCATATAATGTTTCTTCATCTTGATCGGTTATCTCATCAGATTCAGATATAACAACATTTGTCGATTTTGAATCGCCTATAAAACAACAAAAGGAAAACAGTTAGGTTTGTCCAATAATAAGGTATCCAAATAAGATACACTAAAAAACAGTTGATACATGATATTTAAAACTTTGAGCAATGACAGTTCAAACACTATTTTCTCGCTCAAAAATGATCACTCTATGATCGATCTCTTACCCTTTTTCTTTCGATATAATTTTTCCTTCTTTTTACGTGCTGTATTATCATCTTCTTCTAATAATTGATATCTAATTCGTTTTCGTTTTGCTAATAAATATCGTCGTCGTTTTATCCGTAAACAACAACAGAGAAGTAACCAGCATGTTGTCCAAAGTAATATTATACCAGACATAGAGAATAGTACCACATAAGGAAGACGAAAATCTAAATGGAAAAGAAAATAAATAAAATCATATTAAAAAATATCAAAAATTATTATCGATCACAAGCAGAGTATTATTTGGCTACTTTTCAGAGACTTGATCATTCTCAATATAAAATCAGTGCTTTTCAAAAAAATTTCTTACCACAATTGGGTATATGTTGAAATTGTTTTTTATACCAGTTTTCCATATAATATTTATCACAACGGCATTGTTTCGTCTTTTTATCACACACTCCATGCCTTGAACAATCATGAAGACACAAATAGCTGTCAATATCTGAAATTTTAATATTTTTAAATAATTGATTGATTGATTTTAATTTTGGACGTAAATGTTCAACGACGCGCTGTGGTTTCAATGCTACTCCATTGTCCCCACTTGCTACTAATAGTAGTTGTTCATCACTGATAGATATTACCGTTATATTTGATTGTGGTTGTAAATCTGTCAAAAATACTCGAAGATTTAAAAGTAAATTATTTAACATTTGTTCAGTAAACAAAGCATTATTCTCTGTTTGAAATTGAATTTCAAATAAATCTTTCCCATCTTCATTCAATGGTTCGACAGTAATATTTACCGATTGTGAGGATACTTGAGAACGATCATCCGTGACTTTTAAAACAAAAGTATACAGACCAACATGTAATTGTGTTAACATAGCTATTGGGGATAAATCGGAATTATTGATAAATCTCTAAAATATTACCAAAATAATTAGATAAGAACAGACTAATGTTCATATCTGCTATACGAAGAGAATTTTGAAGTAACTCGTAAAAAAATAACGAACACTCACTCCCTTGTCAGTTTTGAAGATTATAAATTAATGTTCCACTTACTCCACCTGCTGGACTTTCTGGTGTTCTCGTCCATTTCCAACTGGCAATACCATAATCTGCTCTTGTTTTCGATGCATCGATGACAATCAAATTTTTTAAAATATTAACATTCGTTTGAGTTAGTAACTGAATTTCCGGTGGTTGACCATTTTGTGCGTAAACAAGAACATCAACATAATCTCTTGACACATATTTTTTATCATTTGTAACAAGTTTTAATTGAAATTTATAATGTCCAATATGAAGATTTTGTACAGATGTTTTCAATGATTGAGGTTGAGTAATAACAATATCGTCGTTAATAACATTGGACTTTCCATTATTGTCAATTAACGTCCATGTACATTGTATAAATGATTCCAAAACACTTAATGTACCATCCAGTATTGTTTCCTTTGTTGGCCAAAATACAACTTGTTTACGATTACCGACTTTTGCACGGATCGGTTCTAAATAATAATAGCAAATAGAAAACAATGATACTGCAAACGTGTGTTACGTTGTAGTCGACGAAACTTGGGGAATTAAGGATTTTATAGTTAAATAACGAAATGTAAGACTCATGAAAACATATTTCTTACCGCCATCCACAACCATCTGAATAATTTTTGCTTGTTCATTATTAATATCATCACGCACATGGATTCGAAATGTATAATTACCAGGACGAAGGTCATGTAATAGTAACTGAGGCATGTCAGTACCCTGAAATAGAAATGTGTGCACGATAAGAGATTTTAGTACTTAATAAAATTTGTTTTATCTACCGTACTCTACTATAGGCTAAAAAAATGTTCCAGCAATTTATGTGGAATTTTCTACTTTTGAGTATATTACGGTACATGATATGTACAAGAAATGGATGATACTTCTGCAGCCAGACCAAGACAGGTATATTTAGTACGTCAGTGTCGCTGAACAACTATGTTTATGTTCAATAGAGTAAATATGCTATCTGTATAGTTTACTCTGTATTCTATCTCATGAAAAATTCTCGCACACTATTCACATACATCTTTCTTTTATTGCCTGATGAATTATTATTGTTTTCTTACCTGCATCTTCGGTGTAGTTGGTCCATCTTCCATATATTTCCATTCATATTTAATTTTTCGATTTGATGATACGTTCGCATATAGATATACAGCACTTTGAGGTAAATGAACAAGTTCGGGTGTATGAACAGAAAGTGCGAAGGGTGCTAATGTAGTTGTTGCAGCTAAAATAAGAAAAGACAGAAATGTTGACCTTCAATATATTTTATACTAAGAAATTTTCATTCTCATATATAGTCAGAGTCAATTATTCATCAACGTGTTGTACAATCAGTCTACTTTCTTACTACTATACATATGTATTGCAATATGAAGTGTAACATACCTCTTAAGACAGTTATTTTGACGGTATCTGTTCCTACAGGTTGATGTGATAATTCATTGTCTAATAGTTTTAGTTCAAATTCATATACGCCACTATCTGTAAAATGTTTAATTTTAAGTAATTCATTAATCTGATCAAACACTGGAGGTTGTACATTTCGTGACGGTATATATGACCATTTTAATACAAAATTTCTATTCACTTTTAATAAATCTTGAAAAGATATTTCACTTTTATTCAACTGAAATAACACATGCCCATGAAGTATAATTTCGTCAGGTACCGGAAAAGTTAATGTTTCATCGTCACCGGCGTTCACAATAAATTGAGAATGAGCAGCAGGAACAGACGTCGAAGACGGCTTAGTTGTTTTTATCACTAATCTTGATTCTTGTTCTTCTCGAATGCACGCATCTCTATCTGTTCGAATAAAACCCAGTTTACACTGACAATAGCCGTGTTTAGCACGATCACTTGGTCTGACGCATTCTTCGTTTTCATCACATTCTTCAGCATTGATATACAAATGACATGATGAAGTATGAGAAAGATACTGCCGGCACACACCTAAATAAAACAAAGTACAGTTAGACAATTTCATGGCATAAAGTAAATATTCTCGCAGAAGAGGAAGCAAAGATGAACATAAGTAGGATTATCGATCAATATGTTTACTGATTTAAACTAAAGCGGAGAAGTACATCGTTTTCTACCGATTTATTGAGAAAGAGTTCTTACCATCGATAAGTCGATAATTCTTCTCCTTGCATGAACATACATTTCTTTGAAGATTAGCATTAATTTGTATTTTCTCGCATTCTTCATGTTTTGGACATGATAATGTTTCATTACAATCATCAACACCTGGATCCTCAAAATCAAGTAAAGCAGCGGTTGAATCTAAATATAGAATCACATTCGATTTATCATTTTCATACTGTTGTGTCAAACTAAAAACTAAACTTTAGGCTATTCTATATATTTTCGTACCAACAGATCGTAGTTGTAAATAGACAGTATCCGTATCATCATTGTCGTCTTTAATAGGTTTACACATTTCATCGGATAAACATTCAATATGGAGACATGTTTCTTGAATCCAATACGCTACATTGCATCGTTGGAATTCGCAACATTTACTAACACAATCGTTCCAATTTGATACTTTAGCTCTAACGAAAACAAGTCAGTTTTTATCTTAGAAAAATGAATAGTTGTTTATTATATTTACCTGGAATATTTGCCCGCATTTGTTGCTGCGAATGGACGCACACCAGTAAAAATGAGTCTTTTAAGTTCATTGGATTGACGCTCACCATTCAACCACAAATCACAAACATCTTCTAAACGGATAAAAGGCAACGGAATGTTTATAAATTGAGCAATAAAGAGGCACAAAAATATTCTCTGAAGTTTAACTACTCATGTATAAAACAGTTAATTCGTCTTGCTGAAAAGTAGCATTTGCTTTTCTGAATACTGAAAACAGGATAGATAACTTACGTTTTAAATTTAGCTGCTGAGTCGGAACATCATCGTACTGTAGTGGTCTTAGAGCAGATGAATCTGTTGTTGATAGCAAGATTCCAAGCAGAGGAATCAAGTAAAAAAGTGAGTATCGAAACATGGTTGGATAGTTCAACACATCTGGAAAAAATTATCTTGAGTGAAATATGCTTTGCTAATTTGGCAAATTAAGATTTATTTTAATAGAGTGCTTATCATCAAAGCACTTAGAAATAAAACAACTATAAGAACTTTATACTAAATCAGAAGTTTTACAGAAAGATTTGACTAACTTCGTTCTAAAATTTTAACAAATACTATAAACTCCACGTAAAGGTTTGTTAAACAGATTTCTAAAGATATTCTTATAAGAGACAACGGAACTGTCAAAAAGTAACAGCTGTACAACACCAAGATTTATATCTGCGAGGTGAACAACTTATTGAATCTTTGAAGACAAATAAGAAGCGTTCTCACGAACTAGTTGCATTCTATACCCATGTAAAAAATCAACCAAGTCCTATGCACATAGTTTTGCGCAACTTTTCAAAATAGTCATGCATAGTTGAAAATTATCCTATGCATAATGCAATCTAGATCATGACAGTAATTATGTATAATTAAACCCGTTTTACGAAACTATGTGTGCATAGGCCTGTTTGATTTTTTACATGGGCAGTTGAAATCAGAAAAAAAACGCAGAACAATACAAGACTACAAACTGAAAATGAAAACAATAACAGGTTAACTACGGAAAAGACGAAGCGAATCATTGGCGGAGTTCGGAATACAGGTTAAGTATGCACTTTCGTGAGATTGAGACTAACTTCTTGTTTTACGCTTAACTTTTGCTTCTAACTCATCTCAACTAGCCAGAGCTTGGGATAAACGGAGTTACTATTCAGTTAACCTTAATTCTTTGTTCTGGACCCTAGAAGAGATAGTGTAGAGGGCGCACGCAGCGGTTTGAATCAGACCTTTACAACATATCTTAACATTGAGTGACATGTCAACGTGAAGAAAAAAATACAGTTCATGCACAGTCGCGGAAAAGTGTTTTCTTTTGCCTTCATCATATTCAATAAGATCTTCTATTTTGGGCGAGGAGTACTGCCAAAAGTTTAGGAAAAATGTTGCGAAGAAAATGGCGAAAAAAAATTACCTATGGGAAAGTAATATTAGTTTCAAAACACTTTTGACAATACGTCTCGCCAAAAATAGAAAATCTTCGGAGTTATCGAATATGCTGATGGCAAAAAAGCACTTTCTTGCGACTCTAAACAAACTTTATTTTTCTGTCGGTGATATGTAAAATTTTTATTTCTTCTTTTATTCTCATTTTCAAGATTATGAAAAGAAGAACGATGAAGAACTAAAACAAACTAGCTACAGTTTTGAAAGCAAGGACATACATAATGTTTATTCACGAAGTAGTCACTTCAAGCTAACAAATCTATTCTAATTTATTCAATAATCAGTTTATCAATTGGTTGAATATTGATACTACCAAAAACTGCATGTGTCAGCGTAATAACACCATGGTCTGACGAGTTTAATCCTGAAAAAACTAATCCAAGAAAACTTTCATGTCATCGTTATCTCTAGGTAATATAAGTTGTTATTCGAAAAATTCCTCGTATAGCTAGAATTGAAAAACACACTGTTTTACAAAGTTCATAAACTTTTTACGACTTTTCATTGACTTTGTGAATCAATGTCAAGTTCTCTAAGTCTTATGCTTAATAAAATCTGCTAAAGAACGAATGAGCAAAATTGTTTTATGAAAGGATACTATATATCTATTCCAGGAGATATCGAAGAGAAACAGTGCCTCATAAATTAACTGATATTTTACGCTGCAGATTCAGTGTCAGATTAATTTTTCTAAGATATTATATTGTGTTTATTTTGAATGTTCTACTTTCATTGAGTTCTTATCCTAGTAATTGTACTTGAGACCACGTACGCGAATTTTAAAACATACATGATTAAAAATTGTTTCTAGATTTAATGCGTATCAGATGCTCAAAAGAACTACAGATACTTTCCACAAGTATTTACCACTTTACCTGCCATATACTTGATAAAATGCTTATCAAGTACAATTATTAAACTACTTGAGAAGTACCTTTTCACTTAAAAACAAAACTCAAAAGTACTCTAGACGTTACTTATCCAAGAACTTCTCTACGTAGTTAATTTCAAATACATTCACTAGAGTATATGTATAAATATATATATTTGACCATAATAGAAAAATCATAAATAAATTACATTAAATAATAGAAAAATTTGAACAAGACCTTACTTTACCGATTCTAACTCTTCGATATATAATAAATCATATCTTAAGTTTAGATAAATTAAAATTAATTTTGATTTTGATTTTAATTAAAGATCAATTAACTGCGAATTATAGAAAAATCAGATGTCAATCAAGCAACGATCAATCTCGATCGTTGGGGAATTTTAATACTGCTAGAATTGTTTTTTATTGATTATCCGAAATAGAACATTTTAAATATGATCGATAACAAAACATTCCATTATTTTCTTGTAACAGATATTGCTAGTAATATAGAGAAACGAAATAATTTTACTGAATTCTGAGCCACTTTTACACGCTGTTTTTCACCCTTTTATTAATTAATTTTAATATCCATATTTTAGTTATTATAATAACTAAAATATTATTCGAGAAATATAGTTAGTTTTATATTCGGTGATAGACAGACTAAAATGTTCGTTTAGAGCAGCATGACTCAGTTCGAATGCCAGAAACGGCGATCGCGTGATACTCTTAGACTAGCTATCTCATGCTCATTGTCTCGGTATCTTTCGACACAGATGCCATGAGCAAATCCGATTTCAGTAGTCATTGGACTGATGAAACGTAAGTTAAAGTTTAAAAAAAGAAGAAAACGTTCACTTGTTGAAGTTAACCAATTATTAAAAGAAATTTTTAGAAACATTTTCAAAATAATCCTGCAATTTTATTGCAAAAAATGCGACTGTCTATTATATTTGAAACTGCACTTTTCTGTGATATTCTCGTATAGATTACTGTTTTTGGAAGATTTTTTAGAGAGCTTTTTCAAAAACCTAAGTATTTTCCATTTAAATATTTTTATTGTACTTCAATATCTTTTTCTCATCTTAAGTACAGAATTATATTGAGCAGCTAAAACACAACACAGTTTGATATTCTGAAGTAGTTTGAATCAATTTTGACTAAGTTATGAATTTTTTAATTTTTTTGTAAAGAAAATAAAAAAATAGGATTACCTAATATAGATTTAAACAATGGTTTTATTTTTTGCTGAAATTATTAAACGTAGTTACGTCAGATGTGAATATTGCTCTTGCACAGAGCTGTAGACAACATTTTGGACTATCGAATTTTTAAAATTAAAAAGTCATCACAATTTGACAACCGCATTGTTTTTTTTACCCGTCAAATAAATCCCAGAAAATACCAGGTTTTTAACACCATATACTGGGTGTGCCAAAATGATTGCAACATTCTTTATTTAGCATATATCTTAGTCCAGCAATATGGTAAAATTTTAATTTCTTTTTTAGAAGGTGCGCGCGTCATTTAATCGACTACTTCCCAGGTCAAAAAGCACCGAGAAACAAATTTATTTTGAGCATGGTGACATACATTAAAGTGGAATAAAATGTGTGTTCTGATGTTCTTAAGTGTCGTCTTTCTTTTCGTATATCATAGGTTCGCTTTAAACGTGTTTTTCTTGAATAAAAAGCCATTTTACCAAAACCGATCTTAAACACGAGAAAATTTGAGTTTAGTTTGTTTGAAACTAATGATTTTTGGCAAAACTGATAAAAGAAAACAAATCTCTCTCAACCTCTTGTGATTATGAAGAATTTTAAATATAGCAGGTTGGTAGAACTCTTCAATGGCTAAAAAATGGCTGTCTTCTGTTTTATTATATTACAAAACATAAAGGATCACAACTGAAAAAACTGTTTTTTGCCCTAGGAAGTAGTCGAGGTTGCATATTTGACGTAGTTCCTTCATATTCTCTTATTTTTTAAGGTATCCTAGAAAATGTTCAATATGTTCTTTGTAGAGGATTAAATGACGCATCTTCTAACTAAGAAATTAAAATTTTATCAAATTACTGGACTGAGATATATGCAAAATAAAGAATGTTGCAATCATTTTGGCGTATCCGGCATACGAGAAGACAGAGACTATAGTTTGCTCGATAAAATGCTCTCAATCTCTTGTCGTTGTTCAAATATTCAAAAAACATGTGCGACCACTCTGTAATGTAATGGACAGTAGATGTTTCGATATGTTAACATTCTTATACGTATATTTTCAAAAATTCGGAAATATACATGTTCACAGGAAACAAAGAAAAATGTGAAAATTGTTTAGACTACTAGAGCTAATATTTCGCATATATAAACGATAGAGAACTGATTAACATATCGAAACACCTAGATAATTTTCAATAAAATTGAGCAAATAAAAACGAAAAATAGAGATTTGAATATAATAAATTTGTCAACTTCGTACCAAAAAACATTATCAACATAAACAGAACTCGCATCATAATCAATAAAAGTGATCAAATATACCGCCTCGTTTTAAAAGTACTTTGTCTACATGGAAGGAAGTAACAAGAAAAGACGACTAGGTATTATGTGGGAAGATCATACACAAGATAATTATTGATAAGAATAACACATTGAAATATTTATTTTTCATGTTTTTGGGATGTTGTAATTGATTTAACCAACACATTTTATCTTTCTTCGTGTTTCAAGCAGGAGTAACTACATATGAGATCTAAAACGGTTTCGTTGTTTTTTCTAAAATATTTAGAAATCATTTACATTTTTGCGCATATATCGACGAGTATGTATTGATACCTTTAGTGTGCATTACTTAACACAGAAGTGGACAGTATTCGAAAAATCCTTGTTATAATGCTCATTCTACTTGTTAATATATGGTTAAAATAAGCTAAAATAACTTGTACGAAATCAACGACTATCGCCCTAGCAAGAAACCTATACATTTCTTGACAGGATCTTAGAGAAATCCTAACAGGATCTTTTGAGGAATTTGTTTAATTTAAGTAGGATCCTAGCAAATCCTATAGAATCCTAATAAAACCCGAAATACCCGAAAGCCGTAGAATTTGTCAGGACTCTGTTAGGATCCGAATAGGACTCTAACAAGAAAATGCAATGATTCACTCCCAGACAAAATCCTGTACACTTCCTTCTTATTTCCTGTTACAATCCTAATGTGAACGTCCTATAAGATCGTAGTAGGAAATAGATAGGAAGTGCGTAGGATTTTGTCTAGAGTCACTTTAAATAAAATGAACTGTTATTGATCTCTTTTGAACAAAGTTTTTGTTTAACGCTGATCCAAATGAAACTGTTATGTTCTAGTTTGTGGTGATTCGTCGATTCGTGTTGAAAATCGTGGTGGCTATGTGATGCGTCTATTGGTAACCTATGAATCTGAGGGTCAAAGCAAGGTTCAGAATACGGGCACTTATCCAGTGTTTCAATCGCGAACCATTACAATTCCAGAAGGATCACGTTCAGTTGAAATTGAAGCACAAGCCGATGTATTTGTAAATAGTTTTCGAACAATATTCAAGACAAGTAATCAATGTCCACAGACAAGATGTTTTGTTGTATGGGGTACAACGTTTAACTCGGCATGGAGTGAACAATGTTGTTAAAATCTGTTACTGTTTTTGAATTGAAACGTTAACATCATACTATATTCGAAGACGTTATTGAAAATAAAGATGTTCTGGTTGATTTAAGAGATCCATTTTAACGGATGACAATGCCAGTTTTAACCTCTCTCTTTAGTTTGAAAATAATATTAGTCAAACATTATTGGAATAGGATAGAAAGAGAATCTTTATTATTTCAATTTACATTGATTTAACAAGATACAGTAAAAGAAAAAGAAGTATTTAAAAAAGCGGACTAATATAGAAGAGAATGATAAGTTATATTTCTAAGATGCCCCTCTCTGTTAGAAATAGACTTTTTCATAAAAAGTCGATATTGAACTAAACACTTTGAATAACTCATTGATGCTTACTGTTAGAATTCATAGCGTTTTTTTCGATATCAAAGGTTTGTGGGTGTTCCTGAAGAAGTTTTCTAAAAAGCTTGAAAGACTAGTTTTTCCAAAATTCTACTTAATATATATAACGTTTGGGTAAAATGCCGGAATCAAACGGGATCTGAGTGATGCTAGTTAATAGAGTTAACATTTCTGATCGAAATTTGATGTCTCAATATTGAGCGACGTTTTGATTACAAGTTACAACACTTTTACTAAAAGCTCCCAGATCCCCAAACATCTCCGTTCAGACAGATGACGATGAGCTCAGATTACTTTTAAATAGAACTAAGCTAGAGGTTGACAGAGCCCGTTTCTTGACTTTTGCTGTAGTTTCCAAGTTGTTGTGCAATGACTACAAGAGCATCGACGACAACACACATATTTTTTATTGAAACTAAATGTAGTGAACATCTTATATGTTTATCCTCATGCGAAACTGACATTTGACTGGTGAATATTCCTCTCAGCGGTAGACTACAATGTAAACTCAAAATCTCTGTAAAAAAATACTCTCAGAACAACATAAATATCGATTACTAGTTAAAGAATCACTCTTAATTAGATCGGAAGCGCCAGTTCTAAATGAAACAGATCGATCAGTTCCTCTTTATGTTTTTCCCGACGGTGTAGAGAAAAAGAAAACAATTGGAGATGGAAGACTTATACCACCAGAAAAAGTCAGTTATAAAAGAATAAAATAAAAAATACATACACATCATGTATTTTTTATTTTATATAAGATAGTAGTTGTTTTCATCATTTGTACAGTTTCTGTTTATGTTTTTGAAAATGACCGGTTAAAGGTCGAAATATCAACAAATAAAGGTATGAAGTTCAAAACAGCTGCAATTATTATTATATTAATGTAAACTCAGTTTATAGAAAATACAAAATATGATCTTTTCTAAACGTATCTGGTTTTTTAACATCGTCAACATAGAAACATTATACGTTGACGTAGTGCGCTGTTCAACATCATGTTACACGTATAATGATAGAACGTATAATCTAGAAAAAGTCTCTCTACCTAGTGTTGTATTAATTTTGTGTATGACTAGTGTTGAGGAACAATATTGAGTAGACTACCGCGTAGGACCTCATTAATAGAATAAAAACTAATGAAAAGAAAATAATAGATAAGAAAAAACAAATCTCGAACGAATTAAATAGCCGAAAACTGAAAGAACAAATATCCTGATACATTGTAAGTCGTTATAAATATATTCTTATTTAATTTAAGACATAATGATTCAAATGATGGTTTTTATCATCAAAATTCTATTTTGTAAGACCTTTGATTAGTTTACTATATCAATAAGGCCATAAGTAACGCGTTTGATTATAAAAATAAGATATTTTCGAGAATGATTAAAACGTTTGTATGACAGGTAAACGCGTTGAAAATGTTTTTTGAACATGTTATAATGCGAGAATGAAGTTCATTCTAGTATTATACTACAGACTATCAGTAGAATTTATTTATTTATCAATCAAAATGCGTAGGTATGGAAAAGGTTAGAAATAATTGAATAAAAATTAAATAACATTGAATTAAAAAATACATATTAATATTACAACACTGTTACATATATAATAAGACACTATTTTTAATGGAACGAGATAAAAATTATAAACTATAAAATTGTGCAGCATGAGAAGATTGTGTTTCTATTTGACCAATTTTAAATTGTAAACGATTAAGCCATTTTAATAATATAGCTAGATCAAACATTAAAAAAACATATAGTCACAATATTATGTTGCTTCTTTATATGAATACATACCGTACATGAATCGTGTATCACCTTGTGTTTCTGATGATGGCTGATGATTAAGACATGTTTGAAGTCGAACTTGTACATGAGCGGGTAACTGAACCTGATGAGTATACAAAACCGGTACCCATAATGCAAATAGCTGAAGAAAAAGAGAATAATCATTGTTTTTTAGTATGTTTTAGAATCGAGAGATTGAATTGATTTTATAGCTTTTCTTTTAACTTACGTTAGCTAGAACAATGGAATTAATTTCTTGTAATGCTTCGATTAAACTCAAAAAATGAAGATTGACCATTTCAGCAAGCTAAAACAAAGAGATATGTTTAGTATTAATTTCGAACTAAATTTACAAGAAAAATCGGTTGGACACTGAGTGAAATGAGGAGAGTACTGTTAATTACAAACAAAAATCTTTAGAGTAATAAAGAAAAACCGTGTCAGTTTACAATGTTAAACAACATCTAAAGTCAAAGAAGAGCATAGAATTAACAACAGGAAAACGCTAATTAGCGTTAATAGAACAAGATGTCATCCGAAAATGAGTGAAGAAACATAATCGAATGTTATTTCATTATAAAATTAGTAAAAACATTTTTGTCCAAGAATGACTAATAAAAATGAAATTAGACTCGTGTCTGTTTTTTATAATAGTTCGTAAATCACATTAAAAGTTTAATATTTATGTGTGAGAACAAAAATACGAACAATAACAACAGTAAAGTGGAGTGTGAACATAAACGCTGATACCTCTCTCTGTTTATTAGAGTACTCTCTTTCCTAAATAAGTGAAATAATATCGATCAAATCACTTTCACCTTTTTTTTGTCAACTTACTACTTTTGAATGGGATAATAAATGTAAAATGCCGGGTGTTATTCTCCCCCAAAAATCCATTATGGCTACCAAGGCATCCGGATCATGTCCTCGATTTACTTGTTCACAATACATTGTCCATAACTAAGAAAACAAAAAATTATAATTAGTTTGTTAATAATTTCAACTAATTTAATATTGTCCATTTGTTCGTAATTCCTATTGCACACTAAGAATAACATTTTACATCTCTTACTTGACAAAGTATAAATGAATGAAATAAGGATGACATATGAATAACACTTGTTTTCGATTGATCAGCAAATCCAGTTAGAATGTATAGAATATAATCAGCAATGGATTGTGAAGCATCGACAGGTATCGGATGACAAATTATTGTTCCTTCATTGCGTGTAATAGCTGCATGTGTCAATGACCCAATCATTAACCAAGATAAAAAACGTATACGATCAATACAATCAATAAATTCTTTTGCACTAGAATAAAAGCAAATATTGATAACTATTGTCTTTTTATTGGCATATCATCAACGTTCAACAATAGTTAAACTTTTCTCACTCATATACTATCTTTAATAAGTTTAATATCAAAATTTAGAATAGTAACAAAAACATTAGAAAAATTGATTAAACACAAACCCTTGTTGAACGGACGGTGGTGGATTATATAGCCATGGTAAAAATCGTATAATCGCTTTTGTATCACGTTGTCCACCTTTTGTAAATTCCAAAGCAAGATATTGCGCTAAACCAGCTTTTAATTGTCCACCAAGTGTATCTTCTGTTAAATTTGATAATTGTTGTTTTTCATTTTTTTCTTTCATTGTACTCTACAAAAGACATATAGTAAACAAATTTGTCTCTTTTAACACTCTTAAACATCTTACTTTCACTTTTGTTATTGTGTGTATATCAGCAATAAATGCAACAGTTTCATTTAAATAATGTTTCATACATTCAGCACCATTCGTTGTAACCTTAAATAAAATGTAAACAAATTTTTTAAAAAAAATCGAATCAGTTGAAGTAAATGTGCTTAGAGGCAATTTTTCAAGGTTATTGTTGCACATCTAACGTGATACACAGATGGTATATATATATATATATATATATATTTTGAGTAGTTAACAATAAGTGTAAGAAAATTTTTCATTTTCAAAATGTTTTTGTCATTAACAGAAATATCACCTCTGTATCTATCCATAATCAAGACTCGATAATACAACATATACAGCACAAACGAAACAACACTACTGTACGCACAACATTATGCGGATCATAAACCCTAACGTCATCAGCAACGATAGCCGACGCATATATTGTTCCTCCAGCATCCAATAAGATTAACTAGAAAAAAATAAAATAAGAATGTAAAAATATATTTTTCTTTTTATAAAAAGTTTAAAATTATTATCTACTTGTATCATTAATAATAAATTTCGATCGGGACACGTAAAACGATGTAACATTGCTTCAACAAGTACACTAACTACACAACGTGGTAATAATAATTTTTCACGATCCTAAAATAAATAACTTTTACATTTTAACATACGAATTTATTTGAATTTATAATGCTACTTTTTTTTTCTCAATATATTCTATAGACATTTCTTTATTTAATTTCAATTGTGTTTAAATTCTTTATCTCTATTTTTACCTTTGTAAAAGCTCGATTAGAAAGTGAACATAGTTCAATGATATGTTCTAATTGAAATGTTGAATTTTGTAAAATAAATGTTAATAATTTTGAAAATGGATCAAGAACAAGTTTAACATTGGCAATAACAGGTATTTTAAGAATAATCATCATAATTTTAATACAAGATGTTAGATCATAATTAACACCTGTGCCTGTGGATGCTCTGGCATAGATTCTCATTAATTTATCAAATAAAAAATCAAATTCTACAAATACACTTGTCCATAATTGAACAGGAGAATCAATTGGAATATATTCCATAAATATGGATATGTTTTGTAGTAACGTCGTACAAATATCCACATTCAATGTTTTCTGTTTATTCATATCCTAAAATACATAAGATATAAATAATATTATATATAACATAAAGTAAATAAAAGTTCACATTTAAAACCCATTTGAGAGCTATCATTGAATTAAAATCGGCAAAATCATTCAATGATAATGCGATTGTTTGAAGTAGTTTTTCATCTAAGAAAAAAAGTAAAAAAACAAAACGAACTGTTTGATAATAATATATTTATAAAAGTATTACCTTTAAAATTTTGTTGAAAAAATTGATAACAAATATTATTTGCTGCTAGTTGATAAAATGTACAGCGAATAAATTGTTGAGCGATACTTCGAGAATTTGCTGGAACAATTACACTCGAATTGTCTTGCCACGTATAAATATGAGCAGCAGCTACTCTACAAAAGAAAAGAAAATAGAACAGTAAGTTTTTCTGAAATTCAAAAAGAAAGTAAAAAAAAATAGAAAACGATAATTGTTCAAATTGACCTAGATTACAAAACATGCTTTTCAAAATGTAAATATGATTATTTCTTACCTTCCAATAGTTTCAATCATATCCATGAGGAGAGGAGCACCAACTGCTGGTTCACGATGAATCAAAGTTGAACAAACAATGATACAATAACCAATACATTCTTCAGAATAATTTTCAATTATTGTTCCACATTTATCACATTTCTGAGGTGTTAAATAGATTTGAGAATTTAGATTGTCGTCTCCATCAATATCGGTATCTATCTTTTTTCCAGATGACAACGAATGCATTGTGCCACCACCCGTTTTTAAATGAAGTTGAGAAGATGATATACGAGGTGGACGACTGTAGAAAGAAATATTAGAAATACAACGTATTCATTAATCTAACAGACTTATTTACCTTAGCGGTGGTGATCTCACATGAACATCATCTTTAAATTTACCCTTTTTATAATAGCTTGGTTTTAACTTTGTCCCTGGTCCACCCAATGCTGCTAGGGCAGACGACGATAACGACTGAACTTTTGGACTCTTAGGCGGGCTCTCTTCTAGAAAAAAAAATGTATTCATCTATTTAAGATGTAATAATACACAATGTTGTTCTACCTTTTGGTTTGAGTAAAACTGTTTCATGTCGTCCTTTTTCCGCTGAATATATAACACGAGAAAACTCTTTGCCACCTTTGAAAAGCATAATTTACTGTTAATTTCAGTCATTTTTTTTGTATTAGCTACATGTTACCTTTTCTTGCATCTAACTTAGAAATAGTTGAACCTTCTGCTAATTTATTTTCAGTTGTCGATGGTGTTGTCGTCAATGAACTGGACATAGGCGCTATACTCGTTGTTCCGCTCGCTGGTGAACCACTTGTACCACTTGTAAATAGACTTTTTAAAAATCTCGTATAACCATCTCGTCGATCTTTCTCTTTCTTATGTGACATAGCTACTGATGCGTCTTCTGTATGAATACTAAATGGTTCATCTAAATATTCAATTTCAGGTTTGTACAATCTAAAAGAAAATAATTCAGTAACGAACTAATGATAAAAATTATCAGTAAAATATCAATTATTTGCAATATTCCTCAAATTAAAACATAAATTTTTTAGTACATATAATTTACGTGACACTTACTTTGTTTTTCCTTTTTTCGGTGGTGAAAGTAATTTGCTTTGTTTATGTTGTCGATCTGCTATTGTCACATCTGATTGACTATCCTCACGCTCTACTCCCGCACCATTGCGAAAATATTTCGATCCAATTTCATTTCCTTCTATTTCGCGAATGTCATCGAATGGTTTTGATGAACCTAAAATAACAGAAAATATTACTGTGGTAGTGATGAGAAGTAAAATTCAGAGATGGAGAAGCTGCTCATGTGTACGTACGGACAGACGTGGAAAATTTTTGAAATCGGTGAAAATTTTTCATACTCAAAAGGGGGATTCTTCATCCTTGATACAACTACACTCACCTCTTCTCGATCCACCCACTTTGGGTGTCAATCTACCACCAATTGGTCCTCCCATACCAAATACAGGTGTTTCACATTGATGATAATGACTTAATATTGTATTCATAGCAACACGAGTTAATTGTTGAATGGTGGTGGCAGACGAAGCAAATTGATACTAGAAAATACCAATATGTATGCATACAAAATATAGTTTAAGCAAGATTCTCGAACTATCGCACTTTATATAAAATAATAATTAAAACCAACAGCCATGAATCTCGAAGACTTGGATCAAGTCTTCCTAGTGTATTTGTTTGTGTTACATTTTCGAAATAATCAGCGGTTATATTTGAACACGTTGAGTATTGAAGTAACGATAAAAATACTGGCAATAATATAGTGCCAAGACCATAGTTATAATCCACGACCTTCAAGAATGTTTTTTTTTTAATGAGATAAAAAATTTATAAAAATAATACTAAGAAACGTACTTTAGGCAAATTTGACAATACAGCATGAAATACAGGATTTTTTCTATGAAAAAAAAAGAACGTTCACTTAAATCAAACTTGTGACACACTGTCAATATTTACCTCAATTTACTTGGTGAATACGTAAACGTTCGATTCGTTTGATTATAACCAAGTAATGAACATAAATGACGGATGACAACATTCTGATAATAGAAAATAGAGCTAATTTTACAAAATCAACACACTCTATACACTTACTTGATGTTTAAACATAATACGATCTTCACCCACTTGATTTTGATCGTCTTTTGTCATAAACTAAACAATAATTATTCCAGAAATATTAATAGAACAATTATAGTTCTTATTTACCTTCATTAGCAATGTTATAAGTAATTGTAATGTTGATTTATCACTATTTTCTACATCTGGTAGAAAACTGGCGATGGAATCTGTTTCAGATTGTTCAGTAAAATGAGCTGAATATTGACAATGTTATTGTTAAAGAGTTATTATTAAGATTTATTCTTCAATTATTATTTAATACACTTACTATGAATCGATGTTGATGGTAGAAATGACAGCCGTCTTGGGATTGATGATTGTGTTTCTTTTCCTTGTTGATTTGGTAATGGTGCAGATGATTTATTTGTTTTATTTTGCGGTTGTTTTATTGACGATGTAATAGGTTTAATACTATCTGTTCTAGCCATGGCAAATTTAATTTGATTTAATTTTCGAATAAAATGATCACTCTCCGTATTAAATCCACCAATAGATTGTGGTGAAACAATATCACCCAATTCTTCTAGATTAATTTGTGATTCTAATGATAGGGTATCAAATCGATTTAAGAAAAATTCCCAACTTAAAACACCTTTTGCTGTTGTAGAGTGTTGCTTGTGTTGTTGGAGTAAAATTAAATATAATTTTGATAGACGATGGAGAATGAGAGAACGATCACTAATCACTGTATCAAATTGAAATTCAAGTGCACACATAACAGTACGTAGAGCTAAATCGGATAGTGTTTCGAGAGAACACATCGATTTTTGACTAACAGTCGGTTCAATATCTTCGATAGATGCAACTAGATTCATAAATGAAAACGCTAATACAGATAAAACATTGTAGTTGTTTTTAACAAATTTTGGTTTCAATAATTGAGTTAATGATATAACACGTGTAGCTTAAATTAAAAGCATTTTGTATTTCTAATTTTTCAATTATTATCAGATCAATTACAAGTGTACGCAATTGAAACAGCTACAATAACTTACCAGCTGACGAACGAGTTTTCCAATGTGCACTGGTAAAGTCTCGATCGAGTATTGTCCACAATGCTGTTTTGCCGGATTCATAACTTAAAGCGTGTAATAATAATGGAACACAACATTCATTTAAATGACCATGACCAAGACTAAGAATTTTCCAAATACTAGAAAAAAACAGATCAAACTTTTAAGATGAATCAGAATCCGATCAAGTACGTTATACTTGACATTTTGTGAGAAAAGGTTAAATATTTTTTTGTTTTAGATTTGAATACTTACTGGGGTACAAGTAATTTTTCCAGACAATATGTTAAAAATCCTCTATTATCTTTGGCTGCTGTTTCTAAACATTCATCATTTAAGATTAACAATTTTAAACAGCATAGTAAATAATACAGGGCATCAATGTCAATAATTTTGTCTAATTCCTAAAAAAAGAGATTGAACAAAAATAACTAAATTGTTTTTTTTATATTGAATCGACTTTATTCACCTTCAACACTGAATAAAAAAACTGTAGATGGATATGAAGCGTATTGAGTTTGAAATAGAATACGCCATGCGAAGTAATCCATACTCCACCATCAGGATTATTTTCAACTTTTAATTCAGGAGTCAACGATACTTGTACTTGTGGTTGCTGAACGGGAGGAGAAGAAACCACAGCAGGAGTATCTAAATTTTGTTGCCCATTTGTTTGTTCATCTTCATTCGATGATGATACACTTGCCGTAGTTCCCATTCCACCCCCTCCAGAATCAACAGCTAAATAGACAGACATACATATGTCACTAGTCAGTAAAATACGTTCAGTATATCGAGCATATGAGTTTTCAGAAGACAACAAACAATACATCATTGACTGTTCCGTTAAAACTTACTAAATTTTGGTTTTGTTGGTGGTTGTTGTTGCTGTTGTTGTTTTAGGTCGTTAACGTTTGGTACTTCTAATTCTGGTAATTTAATTTCATCTCTTGGCGATATGTGTTTTAAGAGATCATTTGCAATTGAAAACCAAAGAATGTATTCTTCACAAAATGTACATTGACTTGATTGATTTCGACAGCGATGTCGACGGGTCCATGGTAATATTAATTGTTTATTTAAAAGTGATAAAATTTCTTTTGATAATGGATTATACATGCCTTGATGTTGAGGAGTTTGTTGTAATTCCATCTAAAATATATTATAACATAGAATAGAGTTAATTGATATATTTTAAAGAAGTGTAGCTGCTAATTACCTGTTTTAGAAGCATATCAATCATCATAATACTACAGGTAGAATTTAACTCTGATTCGTTGATAATAAATTCTTCCTCTTCCTCTTTAATAATTGATACCATTTCTTGACCAGTCATTTGTTGTAACATTAGTTGATGACGATGAGCACGATATGTTTCATATGTATCAAAGACAAGAAATTGTTTAGCGGATGATGCTAACGATGATGTTTGACCGAAAAAAAGTTGAAATAAAGGTAAGTGAAAAAAATAATGAGATAATAATAAAAAGAGATTTCTTTTTGAGGAGGCAAATCTTTGAAATCTCGAAGCATCTCCAGACACATCTCACTGCAGAATATCACATTTTTCAGATAATTTTTTACCTATCATTTGTGTTGTGTCATTTCCTTGCATTGTATTTAAACCTTGCTCAAATGAATTCAGTAATGATTGTTCATTCGATGATGATGTATAAACTTCTCGTCGTTGAGCACGTGATTCTAATTTTTGTAGAGAATTAATTCCAGTTATAAATATTTGTACAATTAATTGAACAGGAATGAATATTTCTAATTGACACAAAAGTTGTAACCATTGCAATGCTTGTTCTTGAACACCGGCCGGTGCAGGAGACTGAAAACGATCAATGATAAAATTGTACAATTGTTCACGAGTCAAGGATAATGGAGACATATCAGTATCAAACATTTTTCTACAATGAAAAAATTTCATTAAATTGTTTAACCGCTCCGATGAATTAATTTTACCTGAATAGTTGTAAATCTACAAGATCTGATTCTGATATTTCTAATCGAATTGCTTCCATCCAATATGGCATAATATAATCCCAAATCTTTTAACAAAAATAAAAATTTATTACAAATGAGTATAAAATAAAGACTAAAACAAATACTTCATAGGTAATAATATCATATGGAATCAAATTGTATAACTTGTTTAAACACTCTTTGATTTGAGTCGTACGATTTGCCATTGTTTCCCTACAATGAAAATTTTTTCTTATAGACATAAATCGAACGAAAAGTAGAATTGAAAATTATTTCCTACCATACACCACCGACTTTGGCAAAATCCATTGGATTAGGTAACAAAATTGAAACAACTAACTCATAATGTTCTTTGACAACAGCTTTAATCCATGGGATTATATGCTAAATGAACAGAAACAACATCATAGACACTAAATATATTATTTTCTGTTCTCTCTTGCTCATCTGCTTACTTCTGATTTTAATGTTCCCAATCTATTACCCACCTCATCGGAGGGTAAATATGTACTTGAATCAAACCATTGAAATAACATACTTAACAGACGTCCAAATATTTCTGGTGGTCCATATGAGGTTGGTTCAATTAAACCCACACACAAGTAAACACCATATCGACTTAAACGTTTTCGACCAACATCAATATCATTAGTTAAACAAACGACAGCATTTTGTATAGTATTTGATGTCGGCATTTGCTCCGTCGTTTCCAATAATAAAGTTTTACGTTCTTCACCCACCGAATCATAGATACGTCGTTCTTCAAGATTATTAGCTTCTTTTAACAAACTGGAAATAAAGAAAAAAAATACGAATACAAGAATAACTAAATTCTATTTCCACGTCTTTTTTCTCAAGATCGATTTTTTTTTTATTCAAATTTCTTAATGGTACTCGAAAACAGTACACATTTTAAATGTTTTTATATCAGCTTTTACAAAAAATCCTAAACACTTACCTAATGATAGCTTCAACAAGATGATTTTGTACATCAGGTGGCAATCTCCACATGTCAATAATTGTTTCTTGATAAACATGATTTGAGTCGATGTGTCGTCTCTCATGACATTGTCTACACAGACTTATTGCTTGATTAGAATTTGTTTGACAACATTCAACTGAATAACATATAGCATATGCTGACTTATTTTCAGATATGCACGACTAACGATCAAAATAAAATAAAAAAATAAAATATATATATCATTATTTTAGTATGAGCCATACTTTATTTTGACAATATAAATCGATTTCAGCTACTGGTAATAGAATATTTCTACAATATTGTTGAATCTCTTTTGATGAACTTTTATAACAATCGGTACACATGTACAATGGTGGAGGACTATCATGACCATGCATCGATAATATAGCATTTACACAAACCTAATAAAAGAAATTAATATAAAACATTATCTAAGATTTTCTCGAAGATTTAGTTACTTTCGATGCAATATTTTTTTTTTCAATACATCGTTCTGTTTGACAAATAACCGGTTTACGTGCTAAAATATTCAGATATAGAAGAAACCACCTATAAATGATAAAAATGTTTATCATATACCATTAAATTTAAAATGAAGTGATCGTCGATCTACTCCTAATGGAATTAACATTGGCCAATAGAAAAATAATAAATTAACTGCAGCCGAACGTGCACTCGCTGCACCATGAGCAATCACAAACAATATATCCTAAAACAAGCATTCATATTATTCGCAAAGTTCTGTGGAAATATAATAATATTCAGATGTACAAATAAAGCGTCAAAACATTCACAGATTACTCTAAAAAAGAAGTGGTAGTCTAAAAGATCCCATGAGATTATCTCATAAGTGTAAATGGATCTAGAGATTTAACGTGTCATGTTACAAAACGAATATATACGATACGCAGATGAACAACAATTATCATACAATGGCAATAAACGACCTTCACAACAAAGCATGTGCTATCTAATAGGAATAGGAACTCACGTAGATCAAATCAGCTTTCAAACTCAAAAGACACTCCATCAATTGAGCATGATAGGCTAGAGAGAGATTTAGTTATTTACTTAATAAATATGATGTACAAAAACAAAATGATTTTTAACATACTCTGATTTTCAATATTTTCGAGCACAATAAAAATAATAGATGCAATCGATGTTGTTGTCATGGAATGTTCAGGATATTCTGTATAAGCTAAAAAGAAAATAATAAGAATTTTCAGATTAAATACAAGAAAACATAGCGGAACTAACAGATATGAACAGAAAAAGAAATAGTTGGTAAAATTTCTTATTCATTAATATCAACAACAGAATCAAAGTCTCCTGTTCATCAAGATTTTTAATCTCTTTAATTATGTATTCAGCTTTTGTGCTTACCCATATTAATTGGCAATAATGTTTGACATAGTGTATCTAATATTTCTTTGTGTACATCTTGTGGGAATGTTGATAATGCCGATACAAATGTGTATGGTAAAGCATCTAACAAATCATATGGCAGAAATGGTGCTAGACATGCAAGAGCATGTAAAATAGATTGAGCTAATGATGTTTGACCAAGTGATATGGCCGGAACAATATCGATCAAATTAATTAATGAATGATATAGTGACGAATAATTGAGGCTCGGATATTTACTAATACGATAGGAATGTTTACCGGAATATTGATCTTGATTTGGTTCAATTGTCATCTCTTTTAATACTCTGAAAATAGAAAAAAAAATATTTTTTCATCGCCACTTTAATCATTCACAAAATTATGACTTACCCTAGCAATGTTTGTGAAAAATATTTGACTGCATTCGCAATATCGTAACCAGATGGAGGTACTCCGCTTGTAACATTATTATAAAAATCATTCAATGTACGAACTTTTGATGAAACTTCAAAGAATAAATAAACATAAGACTAAAGACATGCATGTTAAGACTATTAGATACTTACAAGCAGCTGCACGCGTTGCCATTTTGGTACAGATATCTAAAAATTAATAAATATAGTTTTTACCATCTGTGTGATTTTTCAAAACTGACAGATCATGAAAAACTTGATCGAGCGTTTATCATATGAGAAACATATCTGATGTAAATTTAAAGACAAAAATACCTGTCAACGAAACGAGGAAAATGATTTGAGAAGCATAAGAAAGATATTTACAAGAGTCGTTTAATTATAATGATTTTTCTATCAAAGTTTTAATAAAATATGATGTAGTCTTTGTTTTTTCCGTTGAATACGGTTGGTCCAGTCGATTGAGACATTTTTTATCTGCATAATTTATCCCTCAAACGAATGTGATTTATCTCGTATTGAGAGTTTCAGAAAGCTCACGGTAGGACCTACGGTATTTTTTCCGTGAATAAACAACAACGTAATAAAAACTTAGATACAAAAAGCTTATATAGACTTAGTGGTTACTTCTGTTCAAAATAAAACAACTATGTGAAAATATTTGTATAATTATCGATTTTCAATATCATACATTCAAATGGTAATGCCTAAAGGATGGCCCAGAATAAATGTCAGTATTTTCTCAGTATCTTGGTCAAGGTTGATCGCCCAGTCTCAACTTTTTTTTAAAATACTCCGCATTCAATTCTCTACACAAAACATATTGAATATTTCTTTATATACTATAAGGATAAAAAAATATAGAGGAAATACGGAAAAGCTTCAATATCCATTACTTTCAAACCCAAAGCACAACCAAAAAGTATTTATTTTGAACATGGGCTATGCATCAAAGTGGAATCGAAATGTATTTTCTGATGCTCCAGAATGTCAGCTTTCTTTTCTTGTATCATAAGTTCGCTACAACTTTTTTTTTCTGCCACGAACGAAGATTTACTAAAAATAAAAACAAAAGGAAAAATTTGATTTCTTCGCCTTGGCACAGGAACCGAAACGGGGCTATTCGACTTTCTCGTATATAACAGAAGAATTATTTTGCTTTAAGATAAACGAGATCTAAAGTCATAATATGTGGTTTAGACCAAATCACACAAATTTTCCTAAGTGCCTCAAAACTGCGGTTAGAAAATGATGATTTTCGGCAAAATCGCTAAAAGAAAAAAATTCTCCTGCGACCGCTTGAGCCTATGAAGAGTCTTAAATATAGCCAGTTGATAGAGCTTTTCGACAACTATAAAATGGCCATTTTCTCTTTCTTTTATACCGCAAAAAAAATAAGGGACTGAAACTGACAAACCTGTTTTTTCGACTTGAAAGTAATCGATATTGAGGCTTTCCCGTATTTCCTCTATATTTTTTTTTCTTATAGTATATAAAGAAATGTTCAATATGTTTTGTGTAGAGAATCGAATGAGGTTTTTCTAAAAAACATATTTAGACTCGGCGATCAACCTTGAACGAGATATTGAGAAAACACATACTGAATGAGACATTTATTCTGGGCTACCATTTATATTCAAATTGTATCTTTACATATGAAACACTGCTGCTCAGACCGTGCTCAAAATAGAATGTTAAATGAGCTTGTGCGTGATGAAACTTAACTCACAGTTCGACTTAAGAGTAAAATGTCATGTACATTTTTCTATTCACATATTTTATCAGATGGTAATATTATCAAAAACTCTAGTTCTAATCAAAATCATTCTCAAGCAGCAGAACGCTCGCTGATAATTGGTTAATTATGATGAATAGGTGTTTAAAACATTTATTTTTTCGCTCTTAATAAAATATTGAGTTCTCGAACAGTAAAAAATGATCGAAAACATTAGACTGGTGAATTTCAGTTAATCACACATTTTTCGTACACATTAATTTCCTAAAATAAACATTGTTGATTTTTATTCTCCATTTGAAAAAACCCGGAATACGTGATTCTGTTTATGAAGTAACGCGACCACAATAGATCACTTTTATGCTGTATATATTCGTTTCGTGAATCCAAAAACACCTAGTGATTTTTTTTTGTTCAGAGAAATTTTCATCCTTTCATTGATCAGCCTTAGTTTTTCTATCATGCTCTTTTCAAACGATAAACTAATGACAATTGATAAACGTGAATTTTTGTTTTAGTAAATGTCAAAAAAAATAATAATTTAATTTTCACGTAACCAGCTGATAGTTCGAACACCAATCAAATTTAGTGTAAAAGTCGTCAATCCGAAACGCCATCTTATACTGCCATCTACAAGGGCACTAAAGGCTTTATGAGTCAACCAGGGAAACAGCTGAAATTTCTGTTAAACCGTGAATCGATTGTTTTTCAGTCACCGTTTTATTTTCAAAATCATCATTCAATGTCAAAAGGCTTCGAAATTAATTTGGAATATTAAATGGTATAACAGAAATGGGAGTCACGCTAGTGCAGAGTAAAGCTTAATATTGTGCGTGCAAAATTCTGTCAATTCCTCTAATACAAACAAACGGTAATTCCTTAATAGTAAAAACACCGCTTAAGAATTTTGGTAGAAAACACTCATGATAAAGGTAGGACAGCAGAATTTTGTTATGCAGAATTCAAAATATGGTAAAAGAATTGACAACGGATATAACAGTATAGACAGTATGAAAATATACGATGGTCGCGCCGTTTTTCTAATCACACTGCAATGGATCGCAGCACTGTCGATGATCAATTCTCTCTTTTTTCTGCAATTTATCGACATTGATCAGAATTCCAATGGAGCTATTGTACCTAGCAATTGAAGCTGACTGATAAACGTCTGCATCAAACGTTTTTGCTGAAGGAATCTTGATGAGTTATGAATATTGAGATAACGAGTTTCTTTGCGTTACAGGCTGTGTTCAAGAATTAAGGGACACTTGTTACCTTTTTCAATTCAAAGAGTAAAAAAATTCAAAATGTGCTTTTTATCAAAATTTAATTCAGAATAATGAAGTAACGCTGTATAATGTCAAGACTAAATAATTTATTAAAAATGAAATAAAAATAAAAGACATTGTTCTATTCGGCATAGATAAACACAGAATTAGCATAGCAAATCTGATTTATCTTTGACCGAATATGTCACGACTGTCGCTGATAATGGTGGATCCATATAGACATTTTCTGACAGTAATGCTCTTGACAACTCTTTCAAAAGAAAACATTAAAAGAAAATTAAAAGATTTATTTTAATCAGTTTTTAAACTTACCTTCAGTATTTGCGGAGTCTGAAACTCTGCGATTTGTATCTGCAATATTTGATGGAATGCTGTGTGCTTCCTGAGAGAGTTGATACTCTTGTGGTCGTAGAATGAGACATAATCGAAAACCACTGCATTCTGTAACAACTGGAATAAGAAAGAAAATGAAAAATTTTAAAATTCATACCAGTTTTAAATGTCACAATTCGTTGGAAAGAAAATGCGCATCTTTTACCAGGTTTAAGTTGTGACTTTGTTCGGTATTCTTTCACAATCTATATGGAAAATCCCTTTCAACTGAGTATATAACCAATAGACTGGGTATACTGTGCACGCTTTCACTCACTCCAGTAAGGCAGTCCATTAGCAACACATATATCAAAAGGGAACAATAACAAATACTTTACAAATAAACAAGGTAAGCGAACACTGCTCGATCTACCTTCCTTAACAACGATCTTCTTTCTTTTCTGAGGTTTCAATCAAACGATTGATAGAGATTATCAGAAACTTGGGAGAGAAAACCTTAACTACAGTAACAGAGTTTCATGCTTCTGTGAGAGTAATACCGGTATTGCAAGAACTCAAATCGATTTCACTTGTTTTTCTACTTTTATCAGAAGACATGGATCAACAGGGCTCAACTCAGAGCCAGGATCGACAACGAAAGTTTTTCGAGATCAGGCCTACGTACAGATAAAGCCTATCACTATAAAATACTGACAACGAATGGTGAAATGATGTCCCATATCCGAACTTTTACACCGTTCGGATAGCTATAAGACATCTGTCATATATTGGTGACAGAAGTTATTGCTTTCAAGAAAGATTACTGTGTGGTAGAGATTTAAACGAGTGCTGCGGTTCGAACTATTACAGGTTTTGGTTAGCGAAGTAGGTCAGGAAAGAGTAGCGATGAAAAAGTACCACTGGTTTAAAGTTTTATTTTCTTCATCGCTTTCAACTCTATCAGGATGAAACACCAATTGGTACCGAGCCAGTAAAATGTTTTTTCTAACTCGGACAAGTAGGACGATGACTAAAGTAGCCATAACGACCATAAACAATCAAGAACCTACAGTTTATAATCCTTTATAATAGTATTCGATACGGTGGAATGCGCCCGTTCTACAATCATTCTTGAGACAATAAGTTACAGTTCTTTAAGATTATTTGAAATTACGAGTGTCATATTCTCATTACTGTAACCAGTGAGTGGTAGTTAATACCGTTCACGACTTACCTGATAACTGGTAAGTTACTATAGCTCATCACTTACCCGTAAGTGGTACGTATACGTAAGTGAAGTTGCCCCCAGATTCGCGTTTACGACGCTCTACGACCTTTATGCATTGGTACCATGCAAGCTATCGTTGCCTCCACTATAGTGATCAGTATCCTCTATGACATTCAGATTTCCATATCATGCAAATCTACATGTTAAACTATTTCTTCTATGCTTAGTTCAGAATATGATTTGTACACCGCTGATGTGATGGAAGAGAGCCGAGGCCTATGTGATGGATATTCGATTTAATAAGGGGCAGTAACTTGAGAATAAATGGAAGAAAAACAGAGGCTTTGATCATCATTTTCTATATTGAAAATTACTAGTTCAACGTTTCGACTGTCTTAACTGTGATCAACAGGAGGAGAGAGAGAACGAGAGTGAAAGATGAACGAGCATTCACTATTTACATGATCGGGAATAGGCAGAGAGAAACGAAGAGAATTCCTCGATGAATAGTGCATGATAAAGGAGAGCGAGAAAGCCCAAAAAGTGGACAGGGAAGACATCCAGGCGAAGAAGAGCGATTTGGTGGAGAAGTAGAAGAAGCGCTTGTCGGTTAATTCATCGTTCTTTTGCTGATTTACATGTAGTAACAAACCTAATGGAACGTGGATCGACGTGTACGTCTTCGTCGTAATCACCGCTCTCTTCTTCTCCTTGTGCTTGTCCTGCGCCTCTTCTTGTTCATCTTCACCTTCACGACTGATCCGATCGGGTCGAACATTTAACCATTGGGACCAGGAGCCAGATCTCGTTCTGATCCTTCTGGAAGAACCGCCAATGGGACCGAATGAATGGTGCGGTTCAGGTCCGACTCGTGCACTCGAATGGTCAGAGATTCCTTGATCGGGAGCCGATACGCGATGTTGTCTCGCCAGAGGATTCGAATATTTGGCCAGTCAATGTGATGACCAACGGATTTCTCGTGTTCAGCGAGAGCTCAGAAAACGACTGCACATGTATTCCTAGATTGAATCCCGTGACGAATCTCTCTGATTGACTGCTCACCGATGAGGAACGATGTACCTTGGCAAAAGGTCTCCATCACTTGTACCCTTCGGAGAATTTCGATCATTCCCAATTTGTTTGCAATACCGAATACTTTTATGCCAGATTATTGGATGTTCGGATGACGCATCAGCACTACGAGTACAAACCAGCTGATCTTCTTGTTTCCACGAATTGTGGCCGGCTCAATTGTAGGTGGCATCACAGTTCAAATCGATCTCTTACTCGGTTGGACGGGTCAGCACCAGCTCAGTTGAAGCAACTCGGTCTTCAACGTCTTCGAACATCCTAAGTCCTTCGATCGCTGACCAAGGACAAATCCATCGTTGTGACTAAACGGGATACAAGTTGTGGTGTGGTCGTCGTGAATCGATTGGATGACCGGCAGAAGATGTACACTATTATCAATGATTCATCGGTGTTTTGACCGATTCACACTGACATGACCATGGCCAATAAAGACCGATTGACGAACATCCTAGGAAGACTGGAGAAGCAAACTCGTTTACTGAACAAACACCAATCGTCACATCGAGTAAACCTTCAGACAAAATTCTGTCGAAGATTTCGGAGTTGGAGAACGATAATTCGTTTATTCAGAATGACATCGTTCCAGTACTCAAACGTATCCTACATAATGTTCGACCGGTGACCATCAGTTCAGTTTGTGGTAAACACCAATGGCTAGGAGTTGACAGAGCCCGATTTTTGAATTTCTCATTTACGAAATTCTGGTACTAAATAGAACTTTAAAGTCCGGAAAATCCTTGAAAGGTTTCTCCGAAATCCTCATTTCTATAAAAAATGGAAGCATAATTTGAAAATCGGACTCCGTGACCTCTTAGCTGTAGGCGTTATCTACAAATCAAGAAAAAAAGTTTATTTCTCCGATGTGTCGTTACCGAGAGTTCCTGTGCGTGGCAAAAGCCCTGAAGCTGAAAAACAATGTTAAGAAGAACCCAAAATAAGTGTGATTCTTTCAAATGCGTTTTACTCAAAAACTGTTTGAGCGTTAAATAATTTGTTGATACTTTGTTGTAAATTATCAGCCATGACGGATCTAATGAAATGGCCTTAAAGTTCTTCTAGTTTATTCTTTTATTTTGTTCTTTTAATGATTTTTTCTCTTTTGTAATCATATTTTTCTGTATCATAGTAGACCTTATTCGTGTGTACGTGGCTTAATAGAGAAAAAAATTGAATATGACGCATTTGTCGTCATTGCTATTATGGTCACATGTGTCAGTACAGTACAGAAGCATCGAGTTCCACTCTCGACTCATTTATCATCGGAGATGTGGTTAGTGACTAGAAAGACGTAGTAATTTGCATTTACGCTTTTGTATCATCACTAGTGTTTTTGCTTGGACTGATAAATAATCTATGTAGCTTTCTAACATTTAAACGACTATATTCGAGTGAATATGCTGCTGGTAATTATTTGTTAATTGTAACCGTTTTAAATCAACGTTCATTATTCATATGAATGATTAACATAATTCACATTATTTTCAGTTCAAATGGTATTTATTTCAATAATCTGTTGAATATACGGATGTGTAAAATTATTACTTATTTACTATCAATGTTAACTCGAATTAATTATTGGTTAACTACTCATGAGACTAGTCTCAACGACTAATCATTGACCATGTATGGTCATGAGATCTCATGACCATACATGGTCTATAATTAGTCGTTTTATCCAACAAAATTACCAATGAAGCTACCGAAATCCGCTTTTATCTTATCGATGATCATTATTCTTGTATTATTTGTTTTTCACATACATGAATTATTTTTCTATGATCTACGGTTATCGATGACCCAGAGTATTCATTGTTTACACTATGTATTACCATCTATACATCGCATCAATGGTCAGTGTACAATCGTGCTACTGTAATGTGTTTTATTTATCGCGCACCTTGTACAATTCAAATAATTGCTGTTAGAATTCTACTTATTATTACTGCTTGTAATAGAGCAAGAACAAATAAAAACTAGACGGAGCGAGAAGTATAATAAAGCAATTAAATACCAACAAAGAATCGTTTTTAACACCTAGTATTATTATTCAGAGTGTCTTATCATGAGCTATTTTAATCTTCGCCTACGCGAAAGAACTGAGTGAACCCTGGCAACGTTATGCCATTCTCAGTACATATTTTCTATCATATTCACCACACATACTCGGTTTCATACTCTTCGTTTTCCCATCAACGGGGTACAAAGCAGAATTTTACAAAAAAAACTAGCAAACTAGCAACGTATTTTAGTCCGTGGACTTAAAATGTAACCTTTACAAGAACGTGATGTTTGAAGAAATATTGAAAAAATTCGAAGGGCTTGAGTTTCGAAAAACGAAATCGTGGCGTCATACCAAATCGGACCTCTGTCAATGGTATAAGTGTGTCAATTTTATGCCAATGGATATAAAAAAATTTGTTTACACCAATATTGGTATATAAAACAGGAGTTATACAATTGGTATAAAAATTCGTTTTCTTTCACCAATCTATCAGTTCAGTTGCAAGTGAACTGCTTTTTTCTAAATGCTGTAAAATATTTGTACTGTATATATTGTACTGCAGCGATTTTTCACCGCATGGATATCTTTTAAAGACATATCGCAATATGAAGTCTGATACGTTTGTGCCATGCTTTGTGTTAAAAATACTTGTTTATGCCATGTTTCAAATGCAATGCAAGTTACTTTAGTTTTAAAAATGGTATAGTGTTTTTGTATAGAGTTTTTCGTTTATACAAACATTAATGTAAAAATTTTTTTTATATCCATCGGCATAAAATCGAGACACTTATACCATTGGCAAAAGTCCGATTGGTGTAACGCCACGACACTCGAAAAACCCTTCAGTATCAAAAAATTTCGAATATTCGTGTGATTCATTTTATCCGACCGATAAGTACGACATACGAAGATGGAAAAAACTATAACGAATGCTGACATCTTATAGAAAACAAAATCAATCGAAGAATAATTTCATCTTATCTCTATTGCTACCTCTATGTTCCGATGGAAGCTAGCTTATCCTTCATTTTTCTGATACTCATCATCATTTATACTCATTCTCGACCTGGTCTCCAGCCTGCAGACTCGTAGCCAGGATTTTCCTAATGCGGGTGCACTACAGATGTAAATCGATATATCGGTTTTCTTCCATTTTGTTTTTGGGTTGTACTGGTTCTTATTCCCACATAGCGGTCTGTGCGACAGGGACCGGTGCAGAAAATCAGCAGGACGCGAAAGGCAGTGTGGAGACATATCCCAATCGGGCGTACTTTCCAATCAGAATATATATCCCGATCCCGATATCTTTTCTTACAGCAAAAATGTTTTGATATCCCGAACGGGATATAGTTGGAAATCATATCCTGATCAGGATATAATTATACATCCCGATTGAGATATCAAGAAAATCTATATCTCGATCAGGGTATCAAAACATTTTTGTTGATTACTGTAATTTCTAACTTTCACATTAATTTGTTTTTCGTCAAATCTTAGTTTGAAACGGATATTGCCCTACCAGGCAATATGAGTATAAATCAGCTGTAAGCAAGTTGTAATTCACTTACAAAAATATAAGGCAGTTTATCTGCACGAATCAATAGTTGGAAAATTTCCTATTAAACACAAAGCACGTGTACTTATATATAGTCCCATACCGTCGTCATTTTTCCCATAATGGTTTTTACGACGAAATTTCGTGTCTTATATCGGAATATAAATTCGACAAAAATTTGTTAACGATTTTTGTTCGAAAAAATAGTTGTTGGGTGCTTGATGCACTTTTGATCAAACGCAACAGAATTGGATATAGTTTTTCGAGCTCTTTCTAATGTTGTTGTCAATTTTTCCCCAAAAAAGTCGTCATTTCCCCTTAATCGTTTTTACGATAAAATTGTGTTTTATATCCCGATTGAGATACTAATTTTTTTCTATATCCTGATCAGGATACAGGAGGTATCCCCTTACTGAAAGGATCTTCACACTGTTTTGCATCAATGAAGTGCGCGAAAAAACTATGTCTTTTGAAAAGAGATGAAAGCTCGGACCTTATCTCGTCAGTGATTTCTTTTAGAAATTTCATAGCATTTTCGCAGCAGTTAAATAGCAATTCTTTTACTTATGTGGTGTGTCCTGCCACAACGGGCACCCCCCTGGTTACGGGCTTGGTTGAAACATTTGGATGACTCACCAATACATCCGAATAAAATATGACTCATTGACACATCGAAGCGTGACAACGAGTTTGATAATTCTTGCTGTTGCGATAGTACCCGCCGAATAAAACATGCTCTGAAATATTTTCTATTTTAGCCCATTACTCAAAAGCACGAATGTTTGAAGCTATTTCCTTTTCTTCATTTTTATTTACAGTATTTCACCTTCAAGTGAGCGGTTTTTAAAGTGAAGAGACGAAAATTTGAAATTATTTTAATAAATAAATATAAAAGGGTTTTGCGTACTGTTTTGGAGGAAAACGCATGTCAGAGGGCTCTGGCTTTGGTTCGAAAAGATTAATATCGCCTGCTCTCCCTAATCTATGGTAGCATTCTGAAAATATTTCTGAAGTAATTGATATATTCTGTCTAGAGTAAAATATTATACATTATCATAATATCGACATGATTAGGCATGTACCGTGACGGGAACATCCCGAAATTCCCGTGTCGGGAATCCCGAACCCGAATATTCGGGATTTCCAAAATCGGATATTCCTGTCCGGTGCATGCCTAGTCGTCTCCTTTTCTGATATTTTAGCCTATTGTCTGAGGGTCAATAGTTAACTTATCTACGTAGAGAGGATTTTGTGCTGTATCGATCTCACTTCTTTACAACTTTCAGAAATCTTTCTATCAAACAATAACTCAGATGCAGATAATGATTTTTTACCGTAATATTAAAGATTTATATTAGAGCTGCGAAAAATAGCGATTTTCTTCTCTTTTCTTTTTTCTTTTCTTTTCTGTTTTCTTTTCTTATTCACGTTATATATAGTGTGTATGAACGTTATAAGCGAAGATAAGACGTATATGTCGCAGGAATAAATGAAATGTAGGAGAATTTAAAATATTCCTAGGAATAAATAAAATTTTAATATGAACTAGTTCAAATTAAAATTTCACAATTTTTCCACTTATTTTAATATGAACTAGTTCAACTTAAAATTGATT